GATCAATCCCGCGAAATTTTGCTCCGAAAATACTTCTGAAAATGCTATTTTTGAGGTCTAAAATCCTATTTTTTATAGCAATTAATTATGAACAATATAAATATGATTTTATACAATGATAATGATGTTTTTGGCTAATAAAACCTTATGTTATCCATGACAGTAAATTAGGGTGTTAACACTCGAAACTAGGCCGCTATTTGCTATCGGATGTTATGTTGATTGATGATTATGATGAATGATTATTATGGATAATTATGAATAATAAACCTACTGATTAAAATGATTACTTATAATTGAACCATGAGTAAAATGAATACATTGATAATTATGAAATGATTTGTATTGTTAAGGTAATCTAGAAGAATGTTAAGATATATCCATTTAGATAATTGATGTTAAGGCTATCTAGAAGACCTCTAGAATATGTCTCAGATTGGAATGGATTTGTGGAAATATGAATATTCGGTGATTTGGATAAAAACGTAATAATGGAATTCGTATACCAAACTGGAGGAGCACTCGTTTGGAAATACGTCGACTTAATGATGATTAATCACTGTCTTGTTGTTGCCTTAAACTAATTATAGTTTAAGCATCTGAGAATTGTTGTTTCCTTCAAATTAATTAAAGTTTAAGCGTCGGAGAACTGTTGCCTTAAACTAATTATAGTTTAAGCGCCCGAGAATTGTTTGCCTTAAACTAATTATAGTTTAAGCGTTTGAGAATGATTCGAAATTGCAAGGGCTACTGAAGGACTTTCAATCAAAAGAAGAAAATATCATTAATCGACGTTGTACAATTGGGAATTGTGAATAAACGAAGTTATGTGCGAGTATGTCAAATATACAACCGTATACATTGCAAGAAAACCTTAGTTGTTGACACTAAAGGATCACTGAATGTCTTGCTTAATCAAAGATTGTGAATCTCTTGAAGAAATAACAAGTCTGATAACATTGACAGTTTGAGAATACGTATCTGTATGGATAATGACGAAATTATGGTTTAACCAATTGAACATGTCGCGGTCGTGATTAAGTATGATTACTACGAAATTTTGAACGATGAGCCTTAAAAAAATTTCGAGGACGAAGTTCCTTTAAGGAGGGAAGAAATGTAACGCCCCAAAACATACCCTAATATTTATTGAATTAAATATTCAATTAAACAAATTTGTTTTGATTAAAAATAAATTGTTGTTGGGCCTTGGGCCAAAATAAAATATGTTTTGATATCCAATATCATAATTCGGATAAACCTCATAGAGATAAATCCAATATGTTGACTATTTGTGGGATCTTGATTGGGAACCTGAGTACATATCCAAATTAAGAATAAATGAAGAAATTGTTTATGATGTAAACCTTGAAATCGTTTATTGAAATAAATCATGAGAATAAATAATATGAATTGAATATGACACCTTTTATAGTAAAGGTCAAACAAATCAATTTTGACTCTGTCAAAGTCAAATACCCAAAAAATATGATATCGGAAAAAGTAAAACGAATAAATAGAAACCTATGCCGTTGAATAGAGCTTGACTGTCTGGTCGCAACGGTGCAAACAGATTTCAATTATGAGAAAGTTGGACCAAAAAGTGTAACCCAAATGGAATAAAAATTGGTCCCAATCAGGGACACTGTGGAGACGGCGCCTCCGAGCGCACTAGAAAATTTCCTACGCAGCATCTACTTGGAGAAGTGTCCTCTTCTTCTTCACCATTCTATATAATAAGAACCCAACCCAATCAATTCTTCACCATTCTTCTTCATTTTTCCTTCTAAGTGTTCCTGAGAGTGTGAGGAGTATTGTGGTGCTGCCATTTTAGTGGGAGGTCGCCGGAGTTAAGGAGCTTTTGTCGCCGGAAGTATCGCCGTTCTTTCGCTGGAATCTTCGTTAAGCTTCAATGTAAACCCCTAGATATATCTAATGACTAGAATGTTCATATATGTTGTTTCTACGTTCATAGATGGTCATTTGGTTGAATTTTGTGTTTGACATGCTTGAAGAACTAAGAATCATAAACCATGAAATTGACGTTAAAATTATGAATTAATAATGCTAAAATGATCTATAAACCTTGGAAAACATTTTTATATATACTTTAATTGAAGTTTGGGAAGTAAAAATGACATTTCCGCAAGATGACTCGAGGTAGAAGACGATGAATAGTCGATTATCAACTTGAAAATCGATTGTGGCTTGTTCTGCAGATTTTTGGAATAGAGTTGAGCAACAGTCGATTGTCAGAATGTGACAATCGACTGTCAGCCCATTCTGAACACCCGACAGTAGATTATCAGAAGTGACAATAGACTGTCTCCTTACACTATTGAAGAAAATGAAACTAATAGTTAATAATTGAATTTCCTATCATATATTAATCAATTATTGTTTAGAAACCATGATTTTTGAACTATGGAATCCTATTTTTGATACCAATCAATTATGATTAATATAAAGATGATTTTCTTAGAATAAAAATGATGTTTTGAGGATCATATGTGATGCATGACGGTAAGCTAGGGTGTTAACACTCGATGCTAGGCCACTATTTGTTATTAGATATTATGATGATGGTTTGATTGATTTGATGAATTAATGATGACGAATATTCCGAATGATAATCATGAATTGTTAAATTAAGAATAATGGATTAATGAATAGTATTGCTAAGGCTACTTAGAAGATCTCTAAGATAGACCTCTGATTAGAATGGGCTTGCGGGTATATAATGTATATTCGGTGGCCTTGGGTAAAAACGCACGTACGGGATCCATAAACCAAACTAGAGGAACTCATTTGGGGATACCACCGAACATGACAGTTAGTATTCTACTATTCGGTTTTCTGAATTGGTACCTTAAACGAAGGCTAGTTTAAGAGTTGGTAAATTAACTGGAATATATGTACCTTAAACTAATGACCTAGCTTAAGAGTTGGTTAGAAGTACCTTAAACTATAATAAGTTTAAGAGTTGGATAAAAGTACATTAAACTAGAATTAGTTTAAGAGTTGGATAGAAGTACCTTGAACTAGAATTAGTTTAAGAGTTGGTAAAACATCAAAAGATTGGCCTTAGACTAAGCATGGTTTCAGGATATTGTTGAATATTGAATATGAATGTTGATTATTGAATATCATGAGTGATTTATATATTGTGTGTATGATATCAAATGTTTGTTTGTGAAATGAGATTCAATTTATGTGGATGTTTGACGCTTTAGATATGCTTACTCAGCTTCACCGCTAAGCGTGTAGTGTGTTTTATTTGCTACACGCAGGTAGACAGAATGGGTGATTGGCATGTTCCTGGCAACAGAAGGGAGCGAGGTGGTCGTGGTGGATACATGATCTAAAGTGTTTAAATTATATTGTTATGAGACATGATCGAAATTTCTTCCGCATTTTATTTAAACACTCCGTATTTCTCTACAGTTATGTATGAGATATTATTTATAATGAATAAAAATGTTTGAAATGTTTTAAATTATCACGATTACCAAATCAATACTTTAGTTCGAAAGGGGCTGCAGACCTAGACGGATTAGGGTGTTAAACACGTAATATTAGATTTCATTAATAACGTAATATATAATTTTAATTAAAATTACAAATATTAAAATTAATATAATTAATTTGACACGGTAATTAACATTTATTTACTATAATTAATTTGACACGGTAATCACACGTAATATACAATTTTAATTAAAATTACTATAATTAATTTGACACGGTAGTTATATAGATTTCATTAATAGCGTGCTTAATGTCATTTTATTAATTATCATTTTAACTTCACAATTACCATATGTAATGGCTATTACTCTTTGGGCGGGAAAATGTAATATTGACTTTACCTCTTTTTGAATAAAGTATGGATTTCGGACACTCACCATTTTAACTTCACATTACCATATGGTCACTATTAAAGTTTATAAATATTTTTTATAAATTTTTTTGCCTATTTTATAAATATTTTTTATAACTTCGTGCACGAGTTATAAATAGACACTATAATTTCACACACTTACCATTTATATAGGTAATAATAGCACAGAGTAATAATTGTTACATTTTTTGGTTATAACATTTCTTGCTATTAAACATAAATATAAATATATATATTTAAAGGGTTTTACCGTATTAATTTTTTTTCAAAACTGTGTGTATAATTATTCTTACCATAATTATATTATACTACAATCATACACACGTTTTTTTATATAACCTAGTCACACAGTAATCATATAATTATATAATTATGGTATGAATATTCATACACACATCTTTAATAGAATTAATTGGCGTGTATTAAAGTTTATAAATATTTTTATAAATAATTTTTGCCTATTTTATAAATATTTTTTATAACTTACCTTTTCTTGCTAGTATAAATTTCGGACACTTTATAAAACGTAAATTTTATATTACTATAATTTTGGAAACTTGCCATTTTAACTTCACATTACCATATGTAATGGCCATTTTCTTTGGGCGGGAAAACGCAATATCGATTCCATGTCTTTTTAAATGAAGTATGGATAAATTATCTTTATGTAAATTTAATAAATACATATATTGTAAAATTTTATGTTGCTATATCTTTAAATGATTAATTATATTTATTAGAAAATTTGATATAAAAATCCAACATGTAATACAATTATATATTATAAAACTAATTTAATACAAATATAGTTATGATATGTTTGGAAACATAGATTTGGATTTTAAATCTAAATTTGGCTTAAATTTCATGTTTGAAAAACTAAAAAATTTTAAAATTGGATATGAGTCAAATTATTCTTACTTATAACAAAATTTAATTTGAAATTCATGCACTACTTTTTGTCATTTGAAATTGAAATACATGAGATGAAATATTTTTTTATTGAAATTGAAGATACTTGTGAGTTGTGACAAAGAGTCGGCTGTAGACTTGTACGAGTGTACTCCCTCCCTATAAAGGTTGTCTAAAACCCTCAAATACCTACGACGCCCTTAAACCCTGCCTGCGTTCCGGCCGAGAAACCATTTGTCTTCCACAGCTGCTCCTGCGTTCCATCCGAGGATCAATATCTCCAATCTCTTTTATTTCTTCCGAGGAGAGGCTTATCGGAGAAGAACCCTAAGTTTTTGGGGAAGAACAGCAGAGCACATAAAAAAAACCAGATCATAACCCATTTTTTCCGGAAGCTATTTAAGCACTGATGTCGCTGGACGGGAGCTTTCGTCTTGAATACGAGCTGGAGAGGTTCGTCCGTAGGTGCCCCAAGCTTGCCAAGGTTCATCTATTCGTTAATCTACTAAAGAAGGTAAGTTTTTTTTTGATGTATCATATGTTTGGGGTAGCATTTGCATTTGAAAATGATATTGAGACAATTTGAATTGCAGGGTGATAAGCTTACTGAAGAAGAAGTTGTAAATGCACTAGGAGAATTGGTGCTGCACCCGAGTTATACTATACCTTTGGCGGGATGTTTTCGCCCAATAGCACGTAAAATTGTGGACAGGACAGTGGAGCTGCTTCGTTTAGTGCCAGACTTAAGGTCAGATAATGATGATTTGATGACAGACTACGATGAAGAAAGCTTTCTTAGAGAAGCTGAAGGTTATGATCATGGGGATGTTACACATGTTGTTGATGTTTACACAAGAAATGGGAAGGGTTTGAGGCTTCACGAGCTTGCATGTCTTGCATTCTGTAGGGCACTCGATTTGGTTCCGCATTTGAAGGAGTAAGCTATGATTCTGTTTTGTCTTCATAACTTGCAGATTGGCGCCCTGATTTTGAATTTTCAAGCATTGGTTGGTTATTCATCGTTGCATGTTTTCCAACTTCCTGGCACAGTGAGAAATACTGATATTCCTGTTTCCGTGTTGCAGGTCAATTTTAAGTTATTTTAGTTTTGCTCCACCCCCTTTCCAAAGAATGAATAAGAGCGAACCATTCAGTGCAGAGTTTGCTATGGTATGTTTGTCATACAACCTCACTTCATGTTCAAGTAATATATGCTTTATGTAATTCACAATAGCATACTAATTTGTTCTTCTTTTTATATCTTTCTTAAAAAGTTATATTTAGGTATTTTGTTCCTCTTCATCCTCAGTTGTCCAAAAAAGAGAGAAATAAGTGAATATGGTGTATAGAAGATAGTATATATGATTGAGATTCTCATTCTTAATAATTTGAGCAACTATTGAAATTAGTCAACTCCTAAATTTATGAAGTTGCAGTCTAGTACATCATTTGCTAGTAACTATTGAAGGGTTTGAGTTGACATTACATGTTCTTGCATAATGGAATCATTTTGTTCAACTTGTTGATTAGTGTACACATTAATCGTGTTTTCTTGGCACTAATTCGTTTGAACGGTCCACATCATTGATTGCACTAGCAAAAAGAACCTAGTATAGAAGGGTTGAAATTGTTAATTCAATTGTGAAATACTCCCTCCGTCCAACATACTTTCTCGTTCACTGTTTTAGGGTCAAAGTTTAATCAATTTCTTGGCTTAATACTAATTTGTTATAATAGTATATTGTTGCCAGCTTTTGTTTTCTAGAAATTTTGTAGTTGTTAAATATATAAATTTTATTTTTTAATTTTACCTCGATTTTCAAATAAATTGAGTTGAAAATAAATTTTGTCATCCATCGTAATCCGCAACGGGAAAATCTTTGTTGGATGGATGGAGTAGATTTTTTCAAACCATGGAGTCCTTAATTAATATATGAATGTGTAAATATATATGAATTTATAAATATATATGTTTCAGTTTATTTTCTCCTCGGGCCAGGACTAACTTTTCATTTCTTTAGGGAGGAATTTGTCATGTAGATATTGTAAGAGTCTCGTACCGTTATCTTCTCGCAGCATCTGATTTTGCCATGTTATGGAATTGGTCCACTTTTCTTGACCTTGTGAAGAAGTATTCTGATCTCTATGTGCATAACAATGAAGAGCTGAAGAGAAATGTCTCTGATATAAGATGGTGTGGGAAACAAATATTATCGGTGGTTTTGAATATAAGTTCAAATACAAGTTTGAACTCCGAAGAAGACCTTTTGTGTTTGCTGCGGTAATTAATAAAAATATTCTTTAGTTTTGTAAATTTGACTGTCTGCACAAAAATGTTTACTTTTTATCCACGAGAAGAAGCCCCTATGTGGATGCACTACAACAAAAAAGCTGCATAAATATTACTCTCCGCCCCACTATTTTTTAGAGATGGGGTAGTGGTAACTGGCAAGTGTCATGACATTTAGAAAAGTAGGATTGTATGGTTGATATTGATGTTGAGACGTAAGAAAACTAGAGACAAACCAAGCCAGAAAAAAACAAAATATGGGGCCTGTTTGGGAATAGCGTTAGAGATTAGCGTTAGCGTTTTGGATAAAATTTCAACGGCGCAGATTACTTTGCAAACGCTAACGCTAAACGCTGTCCGTAGGTTGCGTTTTCCTGAACGGGCCCATGGTTTGGTACAAAAATAGTGGGACAGGTTTTTTGGGTAAAAAGGGAGAAACATAGTCCCTTTTTACCATGATAATCCAAACTTCCTTGAGTGGTATTTAACTAATAAATACTAATAAGATTAGTAATACATAAAACACAATATCAGTGTAAATCTTGTATAAAAATATGGAGCATTGTAGTTCGAATGCATATATCTTCCTAAAGCTGAGCCTTTTCTTCTTCCTCTCCTATTTACATAATTGTTTTATGTGTATGGAGGTGGCAAGAATTTTGTCAAGATGTATCCCTAGAAAAAGCAGGCATGTATACTGAACGTTCAAATCACAAAGATACAGCGTCTGTTGGTGAGATCATTAGGTTTGATCAAGGTTATTCTGTCCCTTCAGAGAGCTTTTGCTCTTTGATTTCTACTTCTTCTGCAATACATGCACTGTCACAATCAAAGGAGAGTACAAGGTATGAAAAGTTATGAATGTGAATTTAATACCAGGTTTATTATTTAGTGATTTATTTGCTTCCCTTAATGGGATATGATATTCAGGGGTGATGGAAGACCCTTTACCCTGACTTCAGCTGTGAAGAAGAGTTATGAGATGGTCTTCTTGGCTGTGAGTCAGAGGTGGCCTGTTCTTTTGTATGGTCCTGCTGGTGCAGGGAAAAGTGCACTTGTTGCAAGGCTGGCACAAGATTATGGGAGCCAAGGTGATTATCTATTATTCTTTTTGCATTACTGATCAAATTTTCTCTTTTTAGTTGGCATGGATGTTTATTTTCTTAACACAATATTGTTACTGTTCCTTGTAAATAATACTCTATACTCCCCAATACTTTGGGAGGATGTAGTATGTAGTTGACAAGTATTCTTGTCCGAGTGCTGCCTATTCCATGTCATGAATGAAGTTTGTTTCTTGATTTTTAGTTGTGTTATGTCCTTTATTTGAATAATTTCGTATTGACAATGGTAGAATTGTATGTACCAACACAGTTTGTTATGGCTGTATCACTTTCAACCAGTCTTCAACTCTTTGCTAGTTTTTGGTTTTTTGAACTGCCACTACTGCAATGTAAGTAGTTGTGCCATTGTCAACAACTCAACATTCCTGCTGGTGAGTGCCATTAAAAGTATGAATGCACATTCTGTCTGTATGCGAGCATATTCTGTTTGTGCATTATGTGAAACACAGTAACCCAGAAGATGCGCACACAACAGGGAAATCTGTTACAAAAAATATTCTGGGCTCTAGCTGGGCACTTTAGTGCGCACTACAGAAAGCGTAGACCAATTTTTAGAGCAATGCCTGGGTAACGAATACATCATGAACACGTCATGTAATGTTCTTGACACAAAATTCGTCTCTGTTTTTTTATTAAGGGGACACAAGACACACTTTGGGCCTCAGAAACACCTTGAGGAGATGGCCACATATGTTTTCATATGTATTATTCATTATATTTATATATGCAAAATTTTCTGTGCCTCTTCCGCTTCCGTGTCCCATATTTTTAGGAAATTCAGTTTTCCATGTTCGTATATGTGCCTGTTTACGGTCTTCATAGCCTCCAGAGTGTTCATTTGCATCCAGTTACTATTCTGCTTATGGCCACCTCAATGAACTAACAGCTTCTGTTATTCATATACACTGTGTTTTGGGCTGGCTTCATTAAAAGTTCTGTCTATACACATGGATGAGCAAATCGATGGCAGGACATTGGTAGGGACTTATGTTTGTGCTGAGCAGCCAGGTGAATTTAGATGGCAATCTGGTTCTCTTACTCAGGTAGGTTTCTTATTTGTTAAATATGTTTACATGCTTAGTTTTTGTATATATTAGCATGAGATGCGCATGGTCTCATACTTAATTCTCATGCAGGCGGTTTTGAATGGACTATGGGTTGTATTTGAGGATGTGGATAAAGCACCACCTGATGTTCAATCTATCTTATTGCCTTTATTAGAGGGGTCAAGATCATTCTCTACTGGCCATGGAGAGGTATGTTCTTTATTTCTACATATACAACAACAACAACATTACCCCAGTGCATCAAAGGCTCCCTCCCATTGCGGGATAAAGGCGGGGGGGGGGGGTCGGATGTACGTAGTCTAACCCCTATGTTTTAAACATAGAGCGGCTGTTTCTGGATGACCTATGATGAGTGTAGAAAGCTTAAATAGCCATTTTTCTTTATTCCATCCTTGTACCCTACCCAAATCCAATTAATAGTGAATCTTTGGCTCCATCGGAGATGATGAAAATCCCTGTATTTCTACATATGAAGCATCTTTTTTTTTCATATGTTTTTTTTTTTATTTTTTTGTTGTACAAAATGTGAATTTCTATTTTCTAATCATATTTATTCCTTTACACCTGATTTTAGTCTTCAACTAATAATATACTCATATCATATTTTTGCACCTTTGATGCCAAAAGTTAAGAAGTATCATATCAGACATATTCTCTCTTGTTTGTTACTCATAACTCAATGATGCATTAGTTGTTGGTGGAACTTTAATAGGATATGGTGTTTTATATTGTGAACATCACTGATGTTCCAAATTTAATTGATGATAATAACTTGGTAGATTACACATATAGGAAGTTGGTTTCTCCATTTTTTATACAATGAATACTTGAATACCTTATCCACATATTTTCTTGTTGCCCGTGATTGTTTATCATCATCATATCCTGAATCCAGAATTCATGAATTTTTATTTAAGTCCATTACTCCATTTGAAGTTCTTGCTACTTGAGCTGGGGTCTCTTGGAAACAACCTCTCTACTTTTAGTGGGGGTAAGGTCTGCGTACACACACCCTCCCCAGACTCTGCTTTTGTGGGATTCTACTAGGTTGTTGTTGTTGTTGTACTCCATTTGAAGTTCTTACAGCCTAGGAGGGATTGGACTTTTAAGAATGGGCATCTACATACACAGATAATAAACCTCATGCATTTCACATTTTCACCACTTCATACACATATTTCTGCTGATTTTGGGTCAATGCAGACAATCAGTGTGAATGAAGGCTTCCGGCTATTTTCTACTGTCACAAGTTCAAAACTGGACATATATGCGGAAGGTTGGTTGTGAACGCGTGCATATGTACACTGATTTTTTCATCGCTGTCTACTCTGAACTTTAGATTCTCAGTGAAGTATTTATAGCATGTGGTCTTATTCCCATACATTTTGAATAATTGGATGTTGCAATGAAATCATGATTTCACATTTTGATAACATTTCTATGTAGTTGTTCATATAGGGAAAACAAATGAAACTTATTATGGGTTTTTTGAATAATGTATTTCCAATTTTACATCTATTCATGATGCCAAACTGGATATATATGATCACATGCACCTCTTTTTATAGCACTGTCCATTTCCTCTCGTTTGTACGGTAGGTAACCTCCCCCCTCATTCTCTGAATTCCACTTGTTTTTTTGCTAGGCAATATTTCAGTGAGTGCATTTTGGAGGAGAATAATGATTGGTCTTCCTAGTGAAGATGACTTGCTAAATATTGTGGATGCATGGTATCCAAAACTAAACCCTATTGCAGGAAAACTCATAGGTATTTACCTTGTCTGTTTTAGAACATTCATCCTGGTGGGTAATTTTTTTTTAAGAATTTGCCGGTGATAGTTTGCCAACTTATAATGCAGAAACATTCAAAGTTGTCAATGAACTTTCAGCGTCTCAAATTGGAACTATTTCCTGGAGTACTCTTGGGCGATTCTCATTGAGGTCTGCTCTTTAAATGCCTGATCAGTCAAGGCTTTGTGACATTCTTTATACTCACGAGTGCTTCTGATTTCAGAGATCTCCTTAAATGGTGCAAGAGAGTTGCAGGCCATGTTTGGTTCTCCCACCAAGATGGTCTCACTATTGATTCTCGTGAAACTATCTGTAAAGAGGTCTGACATAATATGCATTCATGCTCTTATTCTCAGTTATTTAGATTTTTATGTTCTGGGCAGGCAAATTGGTGCATGAGTTGACATTTTATTTTTCAGGCATCAGACATTTTTGCAGCTTCGTTTTCTTCTGCTGAGAACCGGTTGGCCATTATGAATGGGATAAGAAAAGTGTGGTCAGTTAGTGGTGTAAGGACATCATGTCCTATTAATAAGCCTATGTTTCAAGTCATTTCACAAGAGAAAAATCAATCCATGGCGTTATATGTAGGCCGAGTTGTCTTAGAGTGCTCCCGGAAAAATGTGAGTGAAATTCTTATATTTTGAAATTAATATATATCTTCATCCAAAATTTATTTAGTATCATTATTAAATCATATATCTGCTTTCACAGCTCTGCCTTGACGAGAGACCTTTTGTTCAAATTCACAATTCATTACATATTCTAGAGCAAATAGCTTGTTCTGTGAAATATAATGAGCCTGTTCTCTTGGTGGGTGAAACTGGCACGGGTAAAACTACCCTTGTACAGAGTCTGGCCACAAGGCTTGGCAAAAAACTTACAGTGCTGGTATGTCCTGTTACAGTTGTCCAAGTGAAAAAATAACCTAGTTACTTTTGATGTATTGACTAATTGAAGGTCTGTGCAGAACTTGAGTCAGCAAAGTGATGTTGCTGATTTATTAGGTGGCTTCAAACCAATAGATGCACGGTTCATATGCTTTCCCCTGTACAAGGAGTTCGTGAATCTTTTCACTAAGACGTTTTCAATGAAGGTATACTTTCTTTGAGCACCCTCACCCCCTTCCCCCAATTGTTCTTTGTATTAATATTTTTTTTACTCCTCAGGATAATGAAGAATTCCTTAAACGCTTAAGTAGCTTTGTGGAAGATAGGAATTGGAAGAAGTTATTGGTTGGTTTTCAGAATGGTGTTGACGTCATTGAGAAAGAACGAGTGAAAACTGGTGCCAAACGGAGGAGGCCTTTGGATGCAAAAATTAAGGAGGATTGGAGAAATTTCTCTAACAAACTTAAAAATGCACGTGCTCAAATTCGTGCCTCAAGTGGAATTATATTTTCATTTGTAGAAGGAGCTTTTGTTACGGCTCTTAGGAATGGTGACTGGATATTACTTGATGAGGTGAACCTGGCTCCTCCAGAGATCTTGCAGAGGATTATTGGTGTGCTTGAAGAAGAAAATGGGTCACTTTGTTTGGCAGAGAAGGGGGATATAACCTATATAGATAGATGTTCAAGCTTTCGCATATTTGCGTGTATGAATCCTGCAACTGATGCTGGAAAGAGAGATTTGTCCTTCTCACTGAGGAGCCGATTTTCAGAATATTTTGTTGATGATGTGTTGCATGATGAAGACTTAACATTGTTTGTTAATCATTTTATAGACGAAGAACATTCAGATACAGAAATAGTTAGCAAGATTGTACAGTTTTATAAAGCAGTAAAAAATGAAGCTGAAGAAAGGCTGCAAGACGGTGCTAACCAGAAACCCCAGTATAGTCTAAGATCACTTAGACGTGCTCTTGAATATATTAAGAAGGCAAAGAGAAACTTTGGATACCAAAAATCTCTTTATGATGGCTTTTGTATGTTTTTTCTGATATTGTTGGATGAACCTAGTGCTAAGATAATCAACCAGTTTATTTCTTCATATCTGTTGGACGGTAAAATACCTCAGCAAATCCCATTTGATGCTTACTTGATTGATAGGCGGGCTCGAACTGTTACATCTGATGATTTATTGGACAGCTATGTCATAACTAAGACTGTTGGGGAGCATTTGCGGAACTTGGCTCGTACCATATTTATTGGAAGATATCCTGTTCTTCTTCAGGGACCAACATCTAGTGGAAAAACAAGCCTTGTCCAGTATCTTGCAGCATTGACTGGGCATGAGTTTGTGCGCATTAATAACCATGAACATACTGATCTTCAGGAGTATCTGGGGTCCTATATTACTGATGCTAGTGGGAAGCTTGTTTTCCATGAAGGTGCACTTGTTAGGGCTGTGCGGAATGGACACTGGGTAGTGTTGGATGAACTTAACCTTGCCCCTTCTGATGTTCTTGAAGCACTAAATAGATTGCTAGATGATTTCAGAGAGCTGTATGTGCCTGAATTGCGTGAAACTGTTCGTGTGCACCCAGATTTTATGCTATTTGCCACCCAAAACCCACCAAATATTTATGGTGGCCGCAAGGTTCTTTCCCGAGCATTTCGCAACCGCTTTGTGGAAATCCATGTCGATGAAATTCCAGAAGATGAATTGAAAACTATACTGGAGAAGAAGTGTAAACTTCCTCCCAGATATGCTAAAGAAATGGTTGATGTCATGAAGGAACTGCAGCTGCATAGGCAGAGTAGTAAAGTATTTGCAGGAAAACATGGATTCATAACTCCCCGTGACCTGTTTCGCTGGGCTAACCGGTTCAAGGAATTTGGGAAATCGTACGAGGATTTAGCTCGTGATGGTTACTATTTGTTGGCTGAGAGGCTAAGAGATGACAACGAGAGATTTGTTGTTCGGGGAGTTCTGGAAAAGAAGTTTAAGGTCAAACTCTCTGAGGATTTCATCTACGAGCAGGTAGGATAATGTTTGTCCCTTATTGCTTATTGTTATGGTGCTTGAGATACAAATACTATGTATCTTGATATATGATATTGAGGCTATCTTGTCCTATTTTCTTGGCAAGAGGTTGTATCTGCATATCCTAAATTCATATAGTGTTAGGTGAATATTAACTAAATCACATTTTTATTCATTGATTTTTCATGTGTATGTATACACACACACATATTAGTGATTTTATATTTGTATCTTTATTATGACTTCTTGAGAGATATTGTCCCCTGTGCTATGCCTATGGAAGGGATATTTCTATCTGCTCTTTAGTTTTAAATAATCCAATATCCATGCCTCTACTATATATCTATATTGTGTTACTGACCCCCTATTTTTTTAAGCCATTAAAAATAAGTTACACATGTATATCTTCATGATTTTTCGTAGTGCTGCAACTTTTTACAAGTCTTATCCATTCCTTTCATGGAGAGCATTCACCTTATAGATGCTAGATACTTTACTTCTTTTCTGTTGGAAGTGCTTCTATTGTTGTACATTTTATTCCATCTAGTTGCTCTTAGATCTTGATACTATGTCCTGGTGATCAGCACTTGTATACATCTGAAAATTTGCGATCCTTCAAAAGTTTGCTTTATTATCAATAATTTTTGTTGTGTTCAGGAAGGAAGATATGGAAGAAATGTTGAGGTTGGCGAGAATCCAAAACTCTTTGAGAAATTTGGGGAGTATGTACCTAAACTCAACTGGAATATATTGCAATTTTGGTTGGCTGTTTCTTATTTTTAACATTTTCTGTGCAGTATTGTTTTCACTAAAAGTATGGAAAGATTGTACTTTCTCGTGGAGCGTTGCTACAAGTTGCGCGAGCCTGTCCTCCTTGTTGGTGAAACTGGTGGAGGGAAGACAACAATTTGCCAATTTCTCAGTATCATCTTGGGATCCAAATTACACATCTTGAATTGTCACCAGTTTACAGAAACATCAGATTTTCTTGGGGTCTGATGTTTTCTCTTTTGAGTTTTTCACTTTCACTTTAACTATATCTTATTTGGCCCTATGAGGTTCCATATAAAGATCTGTGAGGTTATTCTCATATGGTGGTCTGTGTTGTTGTACAACAGGGTTTCTATCCAGTAAGAGAGAGATCAAGGATTGCCATTGACTTTAAAAATCTATGCGAGGAATTGATTGGATCTAAGACTTTTGTCCACTTTCCTGGGGATTCAGTATGTTTGCGATCTTATGCGGCTCCTGTTTGTAGTTGAATATCCTTTGCCCATTCTTCGTGTCTGACTCATATTTTTTCTTTTCCAGCAGAAAATATCTACAGATATCAATCAAGCTTCCATTATTCTAGATAAAATATCTAAGATTATTAGTAGTTATAGGCAGGGTTTTGCTTCCCATCCTGATGTGACGGTGCAAGAGCTTGATATTATCAATAATTTGAGTGTTAGATTAGTTGATCTATATCATCAGTGGCAGACAATCTTTAAGTGGAAAGATGGACCTCTTATTGAAGCAATGAAGAATGGGGATCTATTTCTGGTGGATGAAATTTCATTGGCTGATGATAGTGTGCTTGAACGATTAAATAGTGTGTTGGAGCCAGAAAGGAAGCTGGTTGGTTGCTTCTCCATTAGATTTTTCCTTTCATATACTGAATAGTAATATTTCCGAATGCTTGCATCCAACTTGCAAACCATATCCTAGTCCTCATGAAGATGTAGCTCCCTATGATTCTAATTTTCTTGAGTGCAGTTCCTGTTATAATCATTTGCATCTTGTGCTAATAGATACCGTGTTTTAGCAGAGATTGAGACTATTCTTTTACCTTTTCTCATTTTCTATGGTTTTAGACTTAAACGATTTAAGCCATACATTTTGTTTGTTGTGACATCTACAGGCTTTAGCCGAGAAGGGAGGTTCTGAACTTGAGAAGATAACTGCCCATCCAGATTTTTTCCTTTTAGCAACTATGAATCCTGGTGGTGATTTTGGCAAGAAAGAACTATCCCCTGCTCTTCGCAACAGATTTACTGAGATATGGGTACCTCCTGTTAGTGGCTTGGATGAGCTTAAACATATTGCTCTTAGGAGGTTTGTGTCTTCTTGATTGATTTTTCTTGGAAGTTTATATACAAGACTTATATGGCATGCTCCATTTTTTCAGAATTCCTAATGCTCAGCTTTGTAGCTTCATGGATCTTATGTTAAATTTTTGGGAGGTACGCAACCATCTCTTCTACAGTACACTATTTTGATTTTCCCTGACCTCTTTACAACGGTGGACCCATTATGATCCAACTCTGTTGAGATATGGGGATCAAGATGTTCGCAACCCTACACTTGTAAAAAGCAAAGAGGCTGTTTCTGTTAGACCTGTGACACATTGCTGCATTAAGTGCCAAAAACTTCATATAGAATGTAAAAACAAGGAGAAGTGTGATGTGCCATTTTGATTAGTAGTTTATTCTCCTAAAGCTAAAACAATGTAAAAAGAGACTTTGCTAACTCCATTGTAAAAAATGATTCTTTTAGCTCAGTTTTTTTCTCTGAAAAACACAATATCATGCAGCTTGTCCAAACATAGAGCGCTTTTATATTCTTACACCCACAGCTCCTCTCTCTTCATATTTGCTCTCTCTTTTGCAACACAATATGTTCAAAGTTATAACAAAATTTTCTTTTCTTCCATGCAGTGGTTCAATGGCTTGCAAACCGGAAGAATGCTTACTGTCAGAGATTTCTTATCTTGGGCATCTTTTATAAATGCAACTGGAGCAAGTTTACAACCAGAATATGCTTTTCTACATGGGGCTTTTCTTATTTTGCTTGATGGTTTGAGTTTAGGTAAACCTTTAATTTTTTTTTATGTAAAACACTTTTGGAGTGTGAGTGCCATCTCTTCTGCATAGTAGTACAAACATTTTCTTAGAATTTTCCCTCATCATCCACTTGGGCCAGTTTTTTCGGGTTGGAAAATTTAACTTTCAACAATTTTCAATTCGTTCTAGTTTCTTCTAACTCCTAGTTTTTTTCCGACTCCTTTCAATTTTTTCCAAACCTTATAGTTTTTCCCAACTTCTAGTTTCTTCCAACTCCTTTAGTTTCTTCAAACTCTTTCTAACTTATTTGAGTTTCTTCCAACTCAGCCCCTTTCCAACCCTTCTAACAATAACTTCAAATAAACTATTTAGGTGCATTTTTCATATTGTTCTTATTCAACTACTTCATATTATGATTATGATTACTAATATTACGATTATTATTATTAATAATATAATAACCATCATCATTGTCATCAATGTCAATAAAATAATCAATAAATGAAGTAATATCACAATTTATATAAAATAAATTTTCTTTGCCCCCCTACAAAAAATATCAATTATCATTATAGTGTTTGCATAAACTATTAAAATCTTAATTTAAAAAGATTTATTATATATTTCCATTTGTTTTTTCAATATTCCATAATTAGGTTTATTTGAGACATTTCATTTTTATTAATATTTAGTATCTTGATTACTCAATTAAGTGTTTACAACAAACAACAACAACCCATTTAAATCCCACAAGAGTAGGGTCTTCGAGAAGGTGTGTGTACGTAGACCATACCCCTACTCGAGAGTAGAGAGGTTGTTTTCGAAGAGGCCCCCAGATTAGCGTTGAAAGTTGTATTGATTAACAAACTACTACTTCATTAATTAAAGAAGCATAGATAGTTTAGAGATCCATTTTTCTTTATTCCATCACATCCAAAAGCCAAAAAAGAGGTAATTTTTGGCTCCATTGGAGATGATAGAAATTAATTAAGTGTTTACAACTCAATTTATTTTTTTTATACAACATTCTATTTACAATTACACTATTAAATTTTCTTAATAACATGCAGTTCATATTTGTTGAAAAAATTTGCCTTAAATTATAGTGTTTTGAAATTTTAAAATTATGTTGTGAGGTTTTCAAAGGTATCAGGCCATCATCGAATGCCGATTTAGTTTTTCTAGCTTTCCTTCATACATAATTTAGTTACTTTCCTGCATTATTATTAATTTTTTAAAAATAATTATACGATATTTATTTCCTTTCTTCCAAAAAATAAAGCAAGTTATTGGTAAAAAATTTAATATGCATATGTCGGATGTACAATAAATACCATCTTGTTTTATAAAAAATCCTATGTGTTTGACTTTAACAATGCGAGTCAAGCAAAAATGACCTCAGAATGCACTTTATGTATATTGAGACTAATAATGTTACCAATGACACTATGTTGTAGGCTATAATGCAACTATACAAGTCGAAACACTTAGCGTCTTTTTCCTTTTTGAGCTTCCTGTCTAAAATGATTTGTTAATTTGCTGTCTTTATTACTTGTGACTGTTGTGAGCTATTATTTTTTAATTTGTAGTCTTTATTACTTTTGCAATACAGGCACTAGTATTTCCAAGAATGAGGCTGGTAGATTGAGGGTGGAGTGTTTCCAATTTCTTGTGGAGTTGCTGAAGGTATCATCTCTTACTATAAGCATTATTACTCTCTGTCTTCAAATAATCTCGCTGTTTCAGATTATGATGTTTGATATATTTACTTTTAATTCAATTTTTTAAAATATTGGTGTAAAAAGCCTTATCCCACTAGGTGGGGTCGGCAAATAAAATTTATACTCCCTCCGTCCCTAAATATTTGCCACACTTGTATTATTCCCGAGGCAAAATATCAAGTTTTTAATTCATTTTATTTACATATTGGTATAGAAATAAAAAATAAAATTTACATATAAAAAAAACTATATGAAAAGTTCTTCAAAATAAGAGGTGTCAAGAATATTTTATTTTATCAAATAACCAATGAAAACGTAGAAATAAACAAAAGTTCCCGCGATTGCCGAAAAAGCAAACGTTGCAAATAATTTGGGACGGAGGGAGTATATATAAAATAAAAGTACATCAAAAGTTCTACAAAACAAGAGGTTACGAATGATCATTAAAAAATGTGATGAAAGAGTATATATAGCTTGATCTCGTGAAAGTACAAGGGAGGATTAAAAATAGTTGGAGGGAGTACTTTATACTCCTTTGTCCCAAAAAAAAAAGTAATTGTTTGACTTCATTGAGTTGAGGAGTATTGAAAAGTAAAAAGTGGGATAGAATTTGTTTGGAAAGAGAAATGTTTTGAGCCACATCTTTTTTCTTTTATGGAAAGAAAAGTGGGAAGTTTATTTTAGAATACACAATAAGAGGAAGTGGAAATTTGTTTTTGTGACGGAAGGAGTATACATTATGAATGTTGTTCACTTTAGACATATTATCACTTGTGAATTGATAGCGACCAGAGAATGATACTAAGGCCCTGTTCCGTTCAACTTACTTTTTCTGCTTTTTTCTTATTCTTATTAAAATCAGATCAGATCAGACCAGATTTAATCAGATCAGATCGAATCTGATCAAAACAGATTAGATCTAATTCAATCAAATCAGATCAGATCCAATCAAATCAGACCAGATCAGATCCAATCAAGAATTCTTTTTATTATTATTATTATTGTTTTTGTTGTTTTTGTTATTATTATTATTATTTTAAATTTCATACTTTTTACTTGTTTCACTTGATACAGTTCTTTCAAAAAATAAATTTAATTTCTCTTGAAAAAATATAAGAAGAAAGAAAATGAAACTTTTGTGCGATTATAATTTATGTAGAAAAAAATAAAATGATACGAAGCACAATTTTTTTCTTAAAAATGAAAAAGAATAAACTTCAGAAATAAGTTAAATAGAAAACCGAGAAAGTAATCCTTAATTATTAGACGTCGGAAAAATTAATTTTAAAATACATTGACAATGTCAATCTAATTCTATTTTTAAAATACATTTTTATTGCTACCTATCATTTGTGTTTCTAAAGTTTTGTTCTTTTACTACATCGAGTTGATCAGCTTTGATCATGAGTTAAATAAAATTAACATTTGATATTCATATGCGGAGTATATTTTAGTGTAAAAAATCATAAAATAAAAAATATTGATTATATTATAATATGAATCATCATTACAATTTTCAAAAGTTATTATAAAGGCAGATCAAATTGTTGGTTTGAATTTTAAATCAAATCATAATTAATCAGATTAGATCAGATGCAACCAGATCAGTTCAGATCTGATCCAATCAGATTAGACCAGATCAAATCTCATCTTATCAGATTAGATCAGAAAAAACAAGCTGAACGGAACAGAGTCTAAATAAGGGACGTATTGGGCATGGTTTATGTAAATGATCACACACCCTTTCGAGTATGATGTTAATAAGTTGTGCTTTTATATATCTTGATATAGGATATGAACTCTAATTTTGGTAGCTCAAGTCTTGGCACACTGGAGAATTATGGTTTGTTTGACTCAGCTGCTAAGTCTGTTGTATGCATTGATGACATGCAATGTGATAGTCTCTTTGGTATTCATCCATTCTATATTAAAAGAGGTATGCCTTATATCATATTTAGTGTTAAGGATTTGATGCTATATGCCATTATTTCTATGGGTATGGGGGAATGTGTTTTCTCTCTAAGTGCTTGTTTCGTGTTTGAGATTGATAGAAACTTGTAGTTATTGCTTGGCATTCTTGTAGTATAATAAAACCAATTTTATTGGACATAAAGCTCACAACTTGCAAGTGTCATAATAAATTTTGTAAAATATTACTAGTTTTATACTCCTTCCGTCATGTAAAAAACTTCTTTGTTTGACTTTCACGTACTTTAAGAAAGTGTTGAGAAGTAAAAACTTTATGGTTAGGATTTGTTTAGATGATAGAATGTTTGCGAGCTACTCAATCTCGTCTCTAAAAGGATTGGCAAAAAAGGAAGAAGGAAGTTTTTTGCGGGACTAAAGACTATAGTAGAGATATTATTGGCCTTAAAGCAGTTAGAAAAAAAATCCCAAACCTAATGAGAATAAGAACGATAAATTTCCCCACATAGGGCTATTAAGTTTTTTATTCCTCAAGTATTACTTAATTAATTAATTAACAGTATAAATAACACAAATGCCTTCTCATAATTATAGAGTTTTAAAACTCTAATTCACAACTTGCCGCTATGACCCAATATTTTCTACTGCCACCATCGCCGGCCTCGCTGCTGCTACCCCCAATGCCACCACCCTCGTTGGTGTTGCCACCACTATCGTAATTACTGGCCATCATTATTGCCTTTTTGCTACTGTCCTTCACTGCAATTACTGCCTTCATTTCTTTGTCGTTACTGTCCATCACAATGCCATTACTGCTCATTACCATATATTTTGATGTTGTTATTTTCCATGGCAAATGGATGGTACCGTCCACCCTAACTATCTATGTTCATTGTTGAATGTTATTATCCATCTTCGTTGTCCATTGTTACTATCCATCTTTAGTATTGATTGTTACCGTCAATGTCCATTACCAATCATTACTCTTCCCAATCGTCTGGTTTGCTTTTTGCACGTTAACCAAGGAGAAAGAATTAACTTGCAGAAGTGACCTTATTGCCCCTTTTTAAATAAATGGCTTTGGCATTCCATGAACAGCAGCCTGGCTCTTAAGCACCATATTAATAGGCTCAGGATCTTCACAAAGTTGATATCACTGCCGTGTTCCAGGTCAGCTTCACCGTCCCCGGCGGCAGAGCGATCAGATTGGCAGGAGCCTATTCGACAAAATGTGAAGCCCTAGATGGGCGATGGAGTCATTGTTGACAGGAAAACTGTCATGTTCTTGACCTCAGATAGACTCCTAAGATGATCTCCCTGGTTCTTAACGAAGCCAATGCCACAATCAATTGAATTGGTTGGGGAGTGGATTATTTATCATTTAATAAATCTAATGTAGTTGGGGGGAAATGGTAATCTAACTCTTTCTTACTTTACCATAATACCATACAAGGAAAGTGGACAAATACATTTTGATGGCCCAAAAAGAAAAAAGTGGACAAAGCCATTTGGATTGAGGGAGTATCTAATGAGATGTGAGGGTAGTCTTTAGGGTGGTAGTTGATGGGTGAATGTGACTTTTAACTAGTCCAAATTATGTAAAACAAGTATTGTAAAAAGGCAAATTATATGGTACCCTTAAGGTACCATACCTTATTTCAATCTCTCTCCTACTTGGATGAGCAAAAAAAAGTAAAAAGAAAAAAAATGGATCCTTCTATCCCACACAAGGCATGATACCCTTGAGGTACCATAGCTCACACAGTCACAATAATGCCAACCAGTATAATCTGAAACAGTAATGCTACTAAATTACTGTAAGTCTAAAACATCAGCAGCAACAACACCAACAAAACCAGTATAATCCTAACCTTATTGGGGATCAAGATGTATGCAGCCACAACATAGTGTGCTCATTGTTTTTGATGGAAAATGTACTTTTTGTATTTGAAGTTGGAATCAAGAGAATGTAGTGATCTATTAGTGTCTTTTGAAAAACATGTCGCATCTAAATTACGAAATCACAAAGTAATTTTATAAAAGCATTTATACGGTCCGCAGAGTCGTCCACCCTTCATAGCACTACCTAGATAACCCCCCTTAACCACCTATGTCTTAAGCCGAATCTGTTCCAGAAGGCTGCCTACTGTGTAAGCTACCACCTAGGCTGCTTACTACAACGATGCTTAGGAGTCATGCTAATTTAAGTTTCTTCCCTACTGTTAAGTATTCCGATGATTACATCAGCTTGCCAACTTCCCATCCTCTCAGGTGATGATCACAAAGATGAAGCGAAGTTTGATTTCCATGCTCCAACAACTCGAAGAAATGCATTGCGGGTGCTACGTGCTATGCAACTTCCTAAGCCTGGTATGCATCTCAATTACAGATAAAAATTAATTTGATCTTGGTAGTCTGTATGTCAGATAAGTCTATTCAAATCAGACAAGAAAAAACTCCTATATGGCTTTGGTCCTCTAATATATGAGTTCTCTCCTGTAGTTCTGTTGGAAGGTAGCCCAGGTGTTGGGAAAACAAGCTTAGTTGTAGCTCTTGGCAAGTCTTCAGGCCATACTGTTGTAAGAATAAACTTATCAGAGCAGGTCAACAATCTGAACTCTTTCTTTGCAATCTTACACTTCTTTTTGGATTACTGTGTTTCACTTGATTCACTTGGTGCAGACGGACATAATGGATTTGTTGGGGTGTGATTTACCCGTCGAAAGTGATGTAGGGATGCAATTTGCATGGTCTGATGGAATTCTTTTACAGGTATGGAAATAAGTCTTTATGGCTGACTTAGCAGCTGTTGTTTTTTTTGTTTATGATCCTAGTACAAAGTATCAAATTTCTTTGTACTGTGTTTATTTCAGGCACTAAAGAAAGGGCATTGGGTTCTGCTCGATGAACTCAATCTTGCTCCGCAATCTGTCCTGGAGGTTGTTGCCTACTTGCCTGTGTCTTCTACTCTTCATCCTCAAACATTTTATCCCCTCTGTCCTAAAGTTTACTTCCCTCTTTCTTTTTTGGGCCATTCATATTCTTTCTCTCCCCACAACCACACAACTTCCCAACCCGGGAAGAAAACTTTAGGATTGAGGAAGTAGTATATTAATCCCGTAATGTGCGGACATAAGAAAATTTTGTGGATGTTATCAACTTAAATTAAAGTTTTATACGATTTAGGGATTGAATGCCATCTTGGATCATCGAGCCGAAGTCTTCATCCCAGAATTAGGTCTTACCTTTAAGTGCCCATCTTCCTTTAGAGTATTTGCTTGTCAAAATCCATCGTCTCAGGGCGGAGGACGGAAAAGCATGCCTAAATCATTTCTTAACCGGTTTACAAAGGTATGCATCTAGTAATTGCTAATTTTAATATGTTAGGTATGTAGTAACAATGTAACATTAATCTTTAGGAATAACATGTACTCCACGGTTGCCAAGTATCATTAATAGTTCCTTTCATGCTGGGCCTCAGGTTTATGTGGATGAACTTGTTGAAGATGATTATTTTGCCATCTGCACTTCAGAATATCCTTCAATACCACGTTCTATACTTTCAAATCTGGTCATATTTAATAAAAGGTTGCATGAGGACACAATGTTGTTACACAAATTTGGTCAAGAAGGTTCCCCTTGGGAGTTCAACCTGCGAGATGTGCTACGTTCTTGTGAAATAATACAAAGTTTGTTTTAATTTCTTGTTTTTCCTTATGTTCTTTTTAGCTCGTAGCTTTGGGTTTCATGTGCTTTGTGATTGACAATGGGAAAACCTTTTTAAATATGAAATTTTTTACAGGTGAATGTGGAAAAGAAAAGTCTGATTGTTTTTTGAATACGGTTTATTTACAAAGGATGCGGACACCTTCTGATCGACTTCAAGTCATGAAGCTCTTTGAAGCAGTATTTCAAATGAAGCCTTCTATAAACCCGTACCCCAGGGTACAACTCAATTCACAGTGCTTGATTGTTGGCAATGTCTCCCTCCAGAGATATCACCGCCAGTTCTCATTCTATGAGACAAAAGTTTTACCCCAGATGCGCAATAACCTGGAAGCGGTGGCACATTGTGTAAAGAAACAGTGGCTGTGCATATTGGTTGGACCCCAGTCGTCTGGTAAAACTTCCTTAATAAGGAATCTTGCTCAGCTTACTGGAAATTTAATCAATGAGTTAAACCTTTCATCTGCTACTGATATATCTGAGCTGCTTGGAAGCTTTGAACAATATAATGTCATCAGAAAATATCGCCTTGCCATTTCTCAAGTTCAGGATTATGTGCTTGAGTATTCTTCCATGCAGTTAGGGTTATCGCGTGAGGCATCCTCACGAAGAAATGATCTTATTGTTATGTGGCTGGCCTTCATGTCAACCATCAATCTTTTGCCTTCAACAAAATGCATAGAGTCCATTCCTTCGTTGATTCACATCATTGAATATCTAAAGTCAGATCTGGACACTTATTCATTGCCTTTCTCCTGGCCAATCAAAGATCTGGATGTTATTCTCGAAACAATTAAAAAATGCAATTACCACTTAAGAAGGAAATTTGCAGCAAAGTTCGAGTGGGTACCTGGAGTTCTTGTAAAAGCTATAGAAAATGGAGAGTGGATAGTTTTGAAGAATGCAAATCTATGCAATCCAACAGTACGTCAGATTTTCAATTTACTCCATATTTGTTTTCTTTTTACTGTACTTATTTATGGTTATTACATCAGTCCCCAGTTTTCGCAGATTGAAATTCTTCACCCTCCATTTTGCAGGTTCTTGATAGGATTAACTCTTTGGTTGAGCTGTCTGGCTCTATCACTATTAATGAATGTGGAACTGTTGATGGGAAGCCTGTCATTCTTCATCCCCATCCTAGGTTTCGTATGTTTCTCACAGTCAACCCCGCATACGGCGAGGTATCACGTGCAATGCGAAACAGAGGTATTGAAGTTTATATGATGGAACCTAACTGGTTGCTGGATAAAGGAAGCACAGAGCTGCTTGATGTGACTGAGCTTGAAGATGCAAGGAGATTTCTTGTCCTTTCTGGTATCCCTTTGGGTAGATTGATAGATATAATGGCCCGCACACACATCCATGCTAAGAGTGAAGGTGCGCAGTATAACCTGCGTATCACACTTCTTGAACTCTCACGCTGGGTGGAGTTGTTTCAAAAACTACTCACAAAGGGCAATGAGTTGTCTTGGAGCCTCCAAATTAGTTGGGAACATATATACATTTCTTCTTTAGGCGAGGGTGTTGGAAGAAAGATAGTAGATTATGCTAGACGATCTCATTTATCATTGGCTGAATTAAACAAATTTAATTCACTGGAGGATTGCCTGTTATGCTGGCCGGGTGGATGGCCTAACCCTTTGCAGATGAAAGATTTTATTTATTATTCAGAGGGGTCAAGTGTGAAACAAAATTGCATGTATTTGGAGTTTCTAGGGTATCGATCTGCTTGCAAATCATTTAGTTCTATTTTGAGTCTTCAGCAAACTCTTCCGACTTCTCGCTCTGTCAGATGTCATTTTTTTGATATGAAGAGCTTACGTGCATTTATGTTTCCCGGGGATTCAGATCATCTAGATGTATCCTATTGTTCAAGGAAAGATTTTAATCTGGAAGTCGTTGAGAAAATGTTACTGTATGCTGCAAACTGGGCGTTTGAGCAGGCAACTGAAAGTGATTATAAGCTTTATCTTATATATTTCAGTTATCTTGGTTCTGTATTACAGGAGCATGGTTGTTTCTTTAGTCGATTTGTTGACTCATTGCAAAAAGAACTAAAACACCCTGTTTGGAAATTGATCTTTATGCTCCACCGTGTGATATCATCACAAAACTCAGATGCAGTAAACTTCAATGCTTTGCGCTTCTTATCAGAAGAACTTACTGATTTATGTCAGCCAGAATATGTAGTTAATTCTCCTTGTGAACAACTCAAAAACGCTATTAGCAGTGTGAACTTACTGAGGTTAAGCTATCAGCAGTGGAACCGTGAAACTGGATATACACACGGTCAAAAAACCAAAATCCTTGAACCCTTCTTTAGATCCTTGCAGTTCTTGGAAAATAAAGTTCTTCAGTTGTTTGGGAAGTCACCTGAATTATGTTTGAAACCGATCAATGGTGAAACAATTGGCTCTTTATACAGCGATCTTCTTGAACATCACATTGTATTTTGGAACAGTGTTGTTTCATCTCAGATAGAGTTCCCCGACAATGTCATGCTTATTTCCTGGCGGCCCTTAATGAAGGCTATCACAAAGCTGCAGGAAGTTTTCCCCAACGAAGTAAAAAATGTGAAGGTATTTTGTTTGATTATTTTCCTTTTATACTTCGTAATTGTTTCTTTGTTTTCTCTTTATTTTTATAAATATTTTCTTTGACATCCGACATTTGAAGAGCGAGGCGTGGAAGATGAATACACACCCACATTGGTCTTGTCCTTTGCAAAAACCTCTGCTGTGGGATCTTGGCGGGCATCCGTTTCAACCTTCTACTGCTGCATTATATCAAAAGAGATGTGACCTACTTAATCTTTGTGAGCTAGTTTGGCCACGGAGGAGAAAACCTTTCAAGCTGGGTATGCATTCATTTGTTAGCTTTCTATGATATTTATTGCTACCCTTTCTTTGGTCAAATATCTAATAAATTTTTTTATTTAGACGGAAACAATGTGCCAACTGAAGCTGCATTATCTTCAAATCCAGAACTTCGCATGCTTGCCATGCAGGGTAAGTTTTTTCATTGACTGATTTTTCTATTATTGACTTTTGTGGAGTGTTGTTCTTTGCACCCTCACAATTTATTCAACTGCAATGGGAGAAAAATATGTTACAATGCCTGGATAAATTCATTATGTGGGGAAAAAGTTTCTGGTACTTATAGGCTATAGGACATTGATTTCTATTTTAGGCGGCCTAAGAGTAACTCTCTGTTTGTATCACAAGAAAATGGAGAGAAAGACAAGTAGAGGAGAGAAAGCATGCATTTTTTTGACATTTTCTTTTGTTTGGTTTACATAGAAAAAGGTGAGTAGAAATTTTGACCATGGGCCACACATGAAAACCTTTCTCTCTTCTTATTTGGAGAGAGAATCATACGGATTCTTTCTTTGGTACTCGTCAAGTAACTAAATTAGGGTACAACATTATGAAAATTATGTTAGACTTGCTTCATTAAGTCTATACTTTCAACTTGATCCTTACTGTGATCAATAAGGCTCGTGTGCTTCATTACCTCATTAAAAACTGGACAAGTAACAAATTCCAATCTGAAAAGTAAACCTCTGCTCAAGAGAAACAGTATAGCGTGTCATTATCGAGGTTTACCATGTGACTAGGCAGAATTTTAATTGTGTTGTGATCAGGCAATCTGCCTGCTTGGGTGGATCTCTACAATCTATAGGCTATGGATCTTTTTCTTTGAGCAAATAAATCTCTAAAAGCTCTTTAACTCCAAAACCTCTTATAACCTACTTCCCCCCCTCCTCCCCACCCACATTTTCTTTCTATTCTGAGAGAAGAGTAGATTACAGTAGCATCACCACAGTAAGTGAACATTGGTAAATCTCTCTACAAACTTTTTAGCAGCAGAAAATGACTTTAACCATCTAGAGAAGGGTGCACATCTGCAAATTGTGTGTCTTGTGTAAGACATAAGAATGTTAAAAAGACAAAAGGCCTACACTATGGATTTAATATAGCCAATAGTATACATCTTTTTCTTTGATCAAGTAAAACTATACAAGCCCTGGAAATCTAAGAACCTTTATAGCCTATAGTACGAAGTATGTATCTTTTCATTGGGCAAATAAAACTATACATGTTCAGTAAATCCAATAACTTTTCTGACTATAAGATATAGTTTATTATGGCCTATGACAAAGAATATTGTACACAAACAATACTATCATATGCTATTACAAAGAAAAGTGTACACAAATATATATCAATTTATTCAAAGGAAAATGTACTCATAAATATATGAATATATTCAAAAAATCTGTATAACTTAGTTTCGCTCACAATTTTCATTTTCAATTATTATAAGAAGAATATTGAGCTCAAAAATGAGAAAAAATGGCTTACACGAAACCTTTTTAGGAATATGCTCTCTTTCAAAACTTCATTGATATTTATGTTTTGCCTAAAGGTTCTAAATCATCAGGTTAATTCTCATTTCCTTTGTGTTTGGTAAGTCTTCCGGAGGGCTGAGTACCTTTGGATTCATTGTTTCCTTTTACAATATTGTTTTTTGCATTTAAGTTCTAGCCTTAAGACTATTTTTACAGGTGTGTGTATGTCATCATATTTAATGGAAAAAACTGATGAAGAAAATCTCAATGTTATTGACCAGCTGGAAGACATGTACCAGGTTTGAATTTAGAATATTATATTTTCATTTTAATCTGGATATCATTTAATTTGAACTCTTGATGCATTGTGTTGTATGCCCAGATTCTTTCTAGAAGGTTGGATTTGGAAAAGATCAAGTTGGAAGAGAATTCACAGTCCATTCAGCCGGATTTCCAGCAATCCGATTCATCCACTTGCTGTGTTTTCACGCCTAATTTGTTGACTGTGAAGTCTGGCATTGATTGCTGGCTGGAGACACTGCCTATAGCTGATGATATTTGTTTCATTCTCAATACAAGATTGCTCCAGCAGCTTTCCCAGATTGATTCTATATATGGCGTTGAACAACTTCATGTAATATTTATTCAAAATAAGAGTGTGTCGCTCCTTAGTGGTTTATTTTTAATGGCAAATCTAAAGGTACCTTATTATTTCCATGATGAACTGTTTTAACATAATATCCTCTTGATTGTGACAGGATTTAACTGCATTGGCTGGTTGCATTGAGCATTCTTTGAAATTCTCACTGCAATATTCTCCACATCCACCCACAGACTCTATGGGTTATCAAAAGATCTTGTGGACACTGGATGATTGGGCATCTGTGCCTGCAGGTTGTGGTCTTTTTAAATCAGCCACTTTCTATTATACCTTTTAAATCTTGATGAATTCCTTTCATTACCTTAGAAGTTTTGGTGTTTCCCTGCAGCAAGTAAGAAGATATCAAGGTTCATTCTTGAACTGTGGTTTTCATGGCATACTTCCCTGTGGAATCCTTGCCATGTTGTCAATGAGGTAAACATCAAATCGTATTGTGTAATCCTTGGATAGTGTTGTGGTTTACCTCAGCAATGAGTTAACTCTGCCTTTTTGCGGCCTCATCAGAATATTTCCTGGGATGATAAAGATGATCTTCTACCTGACAGGCTTTTTAAGTCTGTGAAAATGACAGCTGTTGAAAAAATTCTGTAAGTTAATTTTCCACTGATTTTTATTTGCATGGTTGATAATGAATTTAGGGTGTCTTTATTTCTGGGTGATTTACCACATAGATGGAAAATTTCATGAAATATAGGCTCGAATTTTACTCCCTTTGTGATCCGTCCCAAAAAAAGAGTGTTCTAAATAAAGAGTCATGGAGTAGTTACATTATAACATTAACAAACCAAGTGTAATCCCAAATTTGATGCATTCTTACCGCACTAAAATATATAGAGGTCGTTTCCCTTATACGCTTGATGCAGTGCCCCATTTACTACCCAAATTTTCATATATTTAGTCCATTATTGATTTAGTTGCAAGTGGAAAACAAAGTTTAATGTGCTATTAGGTTTTGTGCTTTATTTACATCCATATATTATTTTTGGCTTTGTTATAAGTCGTCGACTAGTTGTCCGGTCCTTTCAGTGGTGGCGACTTCATTGTCGCCTAGCGACTTGGGTGAACTAGTCGTCCGATCGTGTAAAGCAATGACTAGTTGTGCCTAGGCGACGACTGGTCGTTGATGGAAACCTATCCAATTTGGTCCAACCCAATTTGACCCGACCCGACCCAACTTGAATTTCATTAAATTTTACAAATACTTCTAAAAGCATCACCTCCCTCATTCACTTAGCACATCGCGACAATCCTTCCCAATTTTTTTCTCTCTTGCAAAGCCCATCTTCCAGGATCGATTCTTCTGAAGTCAATTCTTCTTCATCTTCATCGATTCTTCTCCATTATCCTCCATGGGTAAGATCTCTTTATCTTAAACTTCTTTTTGTGCTTGCTATCTTTGTTGGTACTTAATGTGTTGTTTTTGAAGATTGAAGGGTATTAGTTTCTTATGTACCCTTCGTTATGTGACTTTCTATGCTAGCTTTAAATATATTTTTGTTTTAGTAATGATATTTCGTCAAATAAATATATACAGTTATCTTTGGTCAACAAAGATATATATATATAATATTAAAAATTTCAATATTAATTGTGATTTGTCGACTAGTCTGCGACTAGTAGGCCTACAAGTCGACTAGTCCACTAGTCTCCTCTTCACCGACTCGACTCGACTTTGTCGCCTTGATTACAATGATTTTTGGATGGAGGTGGTATTTTTTGTTGAAACTGTTACAAAAACTGAGATGATTGATTGTAGTGTATTAATTGCCCACATGTTCGGAACCATTAAGCAATGAACACTTAAAGCACATTATTTCTCCACATGGTGCCACTTTGTTTAGGCTTTAATTATCAAGGTTCTAGTTCCAATCTCTACATTCTCAAACATTGTGTAATTCACATTGTTGACTACAGGCAGGGTGCATTTGCTGTTAAAGACTATTCAATGCACAGTCTGAAACTTAGAGCTTCATCACACCATCTCTGGCATGGTTCCGCAGATGTTTCAATAACAAAGTTCCTTTTAACTGGTGCTCAGTGCCTGTTCGAACAGGTAATTATTCTTAAATTGGTATTGTTCATATTTTCTTTAATTGTTGTTGTATTACACTGCCCTATAATATCTTCTTCTCTATGCTTTTAGATCATAAATGCTCACAGAACATCCTTTGAAGCTGAAAAGTACAATAACATAAAGTCATTCTTTCATCCTACTCCTGGGAAGATTATCACGGTATCCACTCTCAAGAAATCATATGCTAAGGGGTGCATGGTCTGAATATGTGCTTATTCTGATTTGATGCACCGTGTCTTTGTTGCGATCACGTTTTAGAAAAGCATATCACAGATGTAATGCTATAATGTTAAAAACACAAACTTGTATATCGATGAAACACATATCTTATAAACATAAAATCATTTATTAATGAAACACCCATGTAATCACCACTGTTCCATTGAGAAATCATCTCACTTGTAACTCCATTTTTTCCATGCTTCAGGAAAATGACGTGAAGGGCGTGATATCACTCCTTGCGTCTTCGAATCATGAACATTTTAAGTCATTGCTAAGTCTCTTAATTGAGCCACTGCTCCATGTCCTCTATCTACCATGCTCAAGTGGTAACTACATATCTTTTGGGCTTGATTTACAATTGATTATTGGTTTCCTATTTTAATTATTTGGATTGGAATGATGCTCCATTTTGTATTTTATTTTCTGTGTTTGAATTTCCTTTGCAGATTTTGTACATAATCTGGGTTCTGCGTGGTTATTGATTGGTGGGCTACGATACCGTCTTTTGATTAGCTATACACATTTTGATCCCACTTTAAAATATACTGTTAAGTACTCTCAACTGATGCAAAAAATTGCTTCTCTCGAGCTTGAAAATGAGGTATTATTTATATTTGTATTTGCAAATTCATTAACTTCAATTACTCTTGTCTCGTTGTCCCTTGTGTTGTTACACATTCCTCTCCTTAGGTTTGTTTATGGAAGAGAAATTTTTGTGAGTTATACATTATTTACGTTACGCTTTGATACTTGTGTGGCATGTCTGGAAGACTGGAACCGGCTGGTTAAGAGACTTTTCATAAAAGACTGAATTAGGGAACTTCCCAAAGCTGGGGCTTCTTGCTCTATATTTTTACTTTATAGTTTTACCAAGTTATTTTAAACCAGAATACTTGATATCCAAAATGGAAAGTTTTATAAACCTTAGTTCCAAGCTTATAATTCTGCTCCTGGCCCAAGTTTGTTGGGAAGTTCTGTTCTTACCCGATGTCTTCTGGTACAGGTAAGAAGACAGTGTACTTATTTAGCAGGGTCTTTGCAATTGAGAGAATATGATGAACATACCAAGGCGCTAGAAGGACTCAATGCTAAGCTGACGAAACTTCAAAAAAAGGTCTGGGGATTTTATATTTCATTCCCTTTATAAAGTTTTGTGTTGATATAATGATATATTCCTCCCGTCCCCAAATAAATGTCATAGTTACTATTCCAGGTATCATGATAAGTTTTGTTTAGTTGTGTGTTTTCATTGATCATTTCATAAAATAATATACTCATGTCACCTCTTTTTTTGTACTTTGTAGAACTTTTAACTTTATATTTTATAATATATTTTATGTTTATACCAATTTTTTAAATACAATAAACTAAAAAATATTTCAATTTGCCATATTTTATTCTTATACCTATTTTTAAAATACAATAAATTAAGAAATATTTCAATTTACCTTGTAATTCCTTCAATGTCTTTTCTTTGGGAACGGAGGGAGTATGTTTTGTAGCTAAATGCTTAAACTTGGGGCATCATTTAAGGAAAGTTTGAAGGTTGATAAGATCTTTTATCTCTCTCCCTCTCCCTCTCTCTCTCTCCATCGTATTGTTATGTTCGGTAGATGCATTTCCCATTATAGGCTTGTGTTCAACCTAACTGGACGAAGAACCCTTATCTGTGTTGTTGTAGAGTCCATAATCTTTTTGTGTGGATTTATTTTTAGCCATTTAATTCTTAATAACTGCTTCAAAATATACACCCACCTAAGTGTGCTTTCTTCTTGTACACAGATTGTATTCCGCTCTGATCCTGGGAAGTTCAAGAGCCTGAAAGATGACTGTGACGACTTCCTTAATTCGGTTCAGCATCTTGTTAGCTCAATTTCTGCTGCAAAAAATCTTCACATTGATAATATATCTGATCTTCTCCAAAATTGGCAGGTAACATTTGTTTACTACGACAAGGCTTCTTATATATAGAATTGTGTTTTGTTATGCCACTACTTATGACATACCATAGAGTTCTGTTAAATGTCACGTAAATTTAGTGTCAATTTCATACTGCAGAAGACCTCTTCACACTTCATTGAGCGACTGTCTGAGGAATATGCTGATTACATTGATATAATTCAACCATTACAAGCATCAATATATGAAATGAAATTAGGCTCCTCTCTGGTCTTTTCAAGTGCTTCAGGTAGAAAGTTACTTGAGCAACTGGGGAAACAAGATATGGATTCTATTCTGGTAACTTACTTAATATTCTTTTGTATAACAAATATACTCTTGATTCCGTTTTTGCTGCTGTTTTGACTTTTTTTGCTCCATGGCAGGGGACGATATATTCCTTCATGAGATTCCCCAGGGGGTGTGCGCAAAAATGTGCTTCCTACAAGGTTGAAACTATGGCGTACAAGTTTTCTTGGATTGATATTGAACTGCCTACAGTTATCAACACTATGGACTTGCATTTTGTTGAAAATCTTGTCACGACCAAAGATCATAGCATTGCTGATGGAATGGTTTGTGTTTCTCTCTTTTTTCTCCTTATTGTGAAGAACATGATTAATCACATGGGTAACTTCGTAGTTACATTGTTTCATCCTATTAATTATTGAGATTTCTTTTTTAAACAGGTCTCAGCTTCTCTTTATCACAATATTCTAATTCGAGTGATGCACTCTGCTGCTGATGCACACTTTATGGATAACTCATCATTTGAAGTGAGTATTTTTTTGTTTATCTTTTGTCATTCTGAAGTTATTCATTACATGAAATATCTTTTATATACACCTTTCAGCTTATGGAGAAGATATTTGATGATTTTGCAAAGCGTTGGTTGCATATGAAACTGCATTTAAGAATGAAAGAGGAAGAAAACAATGATCAACTACTTAGGTTTCGATCGCGCACACTAAAGATAGAATATATCCTTGATAGTGATATATCCAATTTAGAAACTGCTGCTTCAAATGAGAGTTTCTTAGATTGGAAGGAAACGCTCTCTGGTGATGAACACTGTGACAATGTAATGGTTCTCCGGAGTGACTTATTACCATTTGTTATTCTAATAAAACTTCTTTAATAATAAATTTGTTTCTTTTCATAATAGGCAAAAATTGACAAGGAATGTGAGACTCCAGAGGATGAATGGAACTCTGTTGAAGACTCCATAGTAAATGACATGATCCACATTCATAATCAAATCTTTGGCTCAACTGATCTTTTTAAAAATGTAAGTCTTGTGTGAGTACTGGTGCATTTCATCTGGACTGGAGGGAAACATATGTGCTATGACCCTTGTATTTCTATGCTTTATGTACACAAATTTATGACAAGAGAAATTTGTCTTTTACAGCCTGGAAATATTCATGCATCTGATACAGACAGATTATCTTCTTTTGTTGACTCATATTCACTGGGCATAAAAATGAAGAAAGGTGATTGTCATCAGAGCTATTAGATTATGTAATTTCTTGGAATTTTTTAAATAACCTTGCATGTGTTATCTGCAGATTTGAGTGGTTTGGTTTGCTCATCTTTGGATGCTAAGATTATTCCAGAACAATTACTTCGCTTGTGTTTGGAGCATAAAAAGATGTTCATTCCTCACTGTCAATCATTGCATGCGTACAACTTTTATAAGGTCATTCATCATTTGTTTAGGATTATTATGGAAATCTGTGTATATAAATTACTTTCATATCAAATACGCTACAACTGTTTTCAACAAAGGAAAAAAGCGCTGCAGCTTCTCATTTCTCTCCACTTTAACACCTACCCCTCCATTCCCCAGGATTCAAATATGCCTGCAATGGCGACCATGGTGGAACCTCTAACTTCTCTTAAACAGAAAATTCTTTTTCTTTTGAATGAATGGGATGATCATCCTGCTCTTCAGAAGATAGCTGATGTTATTGACATGCTCTTGGCTATTCCTCTGAGTGCCCCTCTGGCTAAGGTAGATTTTACTCTAACAGTCTAATCATTTCTTGTGTATTCTACATATTTACAAACATGTATCATATAATTCTTAACTTTAATTACCGTTCTTTAGTTTCTACTCTTATTCTTCTCTTTGTTTTCCAAGGCCCTCTCTGGCTTGCATTTCTTGCTGAATAGAGTCCACATGTTATGTCAGACGGTTTCCAAGTTTCCATTGTCTGGTAAAGAATTACTATTTCCTGGCTCTTGGAACTGTAGTAAGTAGTATTTTGATAAAGCTTTATTGCACTTCTATGATTCTAATTAATGGTTCCTTGTTTGGATCTACCCTAGATCAAATGAAACCTATTTTTAATCTGGTATCCTTGTGGCATAAGCTGGAGTTTGAATCCTGGCTTGCTTTACTCGAAGAAGTTCAAGCTCAGTTTGAGACAAACGCGTCAAAGGTAGCTTTTGCAATTCTTCATTGGATAAGTTCTTGTAGCTGCTGTGCTCGAAGATCATTATCATTAATGAGATAAATGATTGATCTCTTAATTGATTGTTTCTTTAAAGCAGTTACAGATGTGGTTACCATTATGTTGCAAGAAATAATGGATAGTTTGACTAACTATTTATCAATGTCTGAAAATGCAGTTGTGGTTACCATTATATTCAGTTCTTCGGTCAAAAGAGTGTACTGATACCAATGCATGTACTCCATCCTTAATAGAAAGGCATGTGCCTTGTTTGTACCATTTTTTACCTATTCTCCATGAAGTTGCACCCAGTAATCTTTATTCTGTGTTCACACTTTGACATTAATGGAACATGCAGCTTGGAGGCATTTGTTCAGATGTCATGTATTGGTGATTTTAGGAAACGTCTTCAACTACTTGTTGCTTTTCATGGACACTTGAGTACTTCTACAAAAAGAGGTGCTTGTTCAAGGTATTTAAAATTGTGAGTAGAGTTGTGATTATCTATATAAATTTGTATATTCTTTTACTGCCATTTGCTTTTCATCGACAATGTTATGGAGTTGTCTATCCAATTTTATTAAAAAACTGGAATGCTAAATAAATATTGAGGGATTGTTTTTTTCAGCTCTGAGGAGATTGTGAAGGTTCTCTATAATAGCTTTGGCTATTATGTGCAGTTTTTGCCAATGTGAGTTTTCTCATATCCATGATGTTCAGCATTGATCAATCATGTATGTTTCCATTGAACAACTGATGTATCTGACCTCTTCATTTCTATTTGTTTCATTTTCTTATATTTTTTCCAAGGATTTTGGACCACATGGATGCCAGTAAAAAAAATATTGAAAAGGAACTAAAGGAGCTTGTGAAACTGTGCCGATGGGAACGGGTGGAGGACTATGCTGCTGTAGAGAGCTTTGGGCGAACTCGGCAGAAACTCAGAAAACTTGTTCAGAAATTTACTGTGAGTAGCCAGCTTCATCTTCTTATGATAGTTCATTGTTGTAGTCGAAGTATAACCATGCATTCTATACTATAGGGTAGCTACAATGTTTCTAACATCAATTATATCCTCCATAGAGTAGTCATTACCCTCTACTCTTAGGATAGAAGTAAGGTTTGCTGCATCTTGCTCTATTCAGTCTTACTTTTGAGTAGTCACAACCACTCTGGGCTGCCTTTATTTAAGGTGTCGTCTTGTACACAGGTTCATTGTTAGACTCTCCCAAGTGAATTATGTGAAATTAAGAGGAGAAAATTGTTATTCAGCTAATATTTTTCGTGTACATCGAAAGACCATCAAATAGGCTGTAATGCTGTATAAGGAGGTCTACTCTTATCTGCACAGATCAGACAACATTATCAGAAGTTGTTCTAGACTTCTAGCTGTAAAATGAGAATAAAAAGTACCCTTAGGGTGCTGCCACAAGCGATTAAATACCACAACTAAAATGCGGTATTTTCTTGGTTTTTGTTCTTCGTTTTCAAGAAATATCCTATAAATACTTTGTTGGAAGGTTCATTGTAGTTGTATAAATCAAACACCTTTAGTTACATTAGCTTAGGTCCACAAATCAGTTGTACTTGTAAACTGAAAATTAAGTTGGATATTATCATGTTACATGAAGCAATCACATGATTGAAAATGTGTGGCATTTTTCTGAATATCTACAACGGAAATGTGGTATGCATTTATGCACTGTAGCGTAAAAGTTCAGTTTATTCATAAAAGTGCACATGTTGGTACCAAAAGCATCATGTGTATTGATGCGAAAGTACACTGGTAGCACGATTAGAACTGTTTCTTCGCCTTGAACCTTTAATGTGTATGGATCAATTTAAGGTTAAGGTATATAAGTTTGAATCCGAGTATCCGAAAAATTGCATAGTTAAGCCCGTAGCATTAAATATCCTTTTTTGGACATGCCTCATTAATTTGTACTTGAACATGACCCCTCACAACTATATACTTCCTCCACCTCAAAATGTAGTAAAGGTTTTTCTTTTGACTTCACAGAGTTTAACAGAAGCGTTAAAAATAATGTGTGATTAAGGAAGTGTAACTTCATTTTAGGTTGATTCTGTTACATCATGTGTATTGATGCGAAAGTACACAGGTAGCACAATTAGAACTGTTTGTTCACCTTGAACTTTAATGCAAATGGATCAATTTAAGGTATATAAGGTCGAATCCTAGTATCCGACAAATTGCATAGTTAAGCCCGTAGCATTAAATATCCTTTTTGGACATGCCTTATTAATTTGTACTTGAACATAACCCCTCACAACTATATACTTCCGCCATCTCAGAATGTAGTACAGGTTTTTCTTTTGACTTCACAGAGTTCAGCGGAAGTGTTGAAAATAATAAGTGTGATTAAGGAAGTGTGAACTTCATTTTAGGTTGATTCTTTTACATACAATATGTGAACATGATTATATTTTCTTCAAACATCTGTAGTTCAAAGTCCATTAAAAAGTTATCCAAACATTTTGATTTCCTTGGTACTTCTGTTCTTACTATCAGAAGTTTTTTTTACAACATTGTTAATTTTGCCCATCCACCCTCCCCAGCCCAGATAATGTGCCTTCATCTGCATGTTCAATTTAGTACTCTTGGATTACTTTTAGCTTATTCCTTGTATGTATGTATATATATATATATATATATATATATATATATAGACACACACACACAGACATATATACATATATATATATATATATATATACAGACACACACACACACATACATATTTGATCTACTTACTCTGATCACTAACAGTTATCTTGATCTTATACTAGTCATTAACTAACTTAATCTTTGCCCTTCTACATTTATTCTTAATTGCATGATCTGACAGATATTTCTCAGTACTCTCAGTATTTTTAAATTGCTGCTGTATTCATGCAGGATTTACTTCAACAACCTGTTGTTTCAATTATCAACCAAGAAGTGAAAGGAAGGAGTCTTAATTCCCAAGCCATCCAAGACACACAAATCTCAGTTGACTTATATGAGAGGAGCAAGAATATTCTTAATGCACTATGTGATCAGATTGAATTCATCAAGAACAGGTAGAGTTCATTTTAGCTTATGAAATGTTTGCTTTAATATATGTCTCATTGCTGAATATTGCTATCACAGCCCTCCATATGACGCTTGTTGGTTGAAGGAAGTTGAGTATGTTGTCCAAGATCTACATATCAGCAGTAGAACAGAAAGTTGTTTCCCTGGCTTATCTTGCAAGGGAAACATGGAAGGTGAATTCTATTATTCCTTTGATTTTAAGATGATCTTTTTTTAAGCATAGCAATCAAATTACTAGTTGCACAAATCACCTAAAATCGCATACCGTGCTTGGATGGTGCAGAAATGAGAAGAATCTTCAATGTTAGTCTTCTATCTCAGTTTTCACAGATGTCTTGGTCTGGTAATTGGGATCAACTTTGGCATGCAATTGATGAAATATGTAGAACTGTATTTGGTTGTGCGGAGGTATGGAGAGAGGATGGAAAGAAACTGGGAAGAAGAAGAGTTTTCTCCGATCTACTAAAGGTCTTGGATGTGTGTGGTTTGTCTAAGCACAGATCAACATTAAAAAAGGTATTCTCAAATTCAAGTAATTGTTAATCATAAACATGATGTGAAATATATTCCTGTTCTAGAGTGCGGGACCTTAATGCTCTTACGTGATTGGTTGTTTGATTTCATTTTGTTATTTATATGGTATAGGGCCAACTAGAAGACAATTCATCGATACACTGGCTTCTTCAGCCATCCTTTGAAGTGCGGGACCTGCTCTTGGTGCAATCTGGGCTTTCCTCTGCTGATGCTGAAATTCTCGTTCTTAGAGAGCTTCATGCTTCTTCTGATGAAAGTTTGAACTCCAAATGGAAATCTGCTAACCAGTACTATTTCAAGAGCATCAAATCAATGAAACTTTTGCAGAATATTAGTTTAAACTTTCATAAGGATTTTACTCTTGAACAGGTAGTTGCCTGTTGATTGATCTTCTTCTGTTGAATTTTCTCTTTACTGAACGATCATTTTCATCCCAAACAACTAGAATAAGGAGAAAAGTTGTTAGTGGTTACCAATTCTAAGACTTCAAACTGCCCATCCTAGAATTTCTAGATTTTAATGTGAGGCAACATTTATATGTTTGTTTTTCTAAATTGTATGTTGTGTTTTTTGTATCGTGACTATATGCTAATGGAGGTTCTTCATTATTACAATGCAGGTTGAGAGGTCAGGATCTTATATTGACCATCTTTTGACTATTCAACAAGAACAGCGTGGAGTTGTCTATGATTTTGCCCGACAACTTAGACATTTTAAGGAGTGCCGTTTACCTTTAGTCAACATATTCTCAAGCTCCCCTTTTTCTTCAGTTGAGAACACCGACATTTGTTTGACCCAAAATCATTACAAATCTTTCAATTGCTTGTGGCAACAAAAGGTAGGCCTTAAATAATCACAGAAATCTTTTAATACATATTGCTTCCTCTTGAAATGGGTGTACTTTTTTTGTCTACTCCAGCAACTCTTTGATAGCTTATGGGCACTATTACATGAAGAGAGCCTGTTTTTACAAACAGTACTGGATAACCATTTGAGCTCTTGCACAAGTGTCAAACATTCAGCAATGGAAATCCTTCTTTTCATTGGAAAACATATTCCAGTTATTAAAAAATCTAAGGTAGTTTTTTTGTTGTTGCAAGAACTCGCTTTTTTAATGATATAACATTGATTGACCACTCTGTTTATTAGTTTCTTACATTCCTTTTATATACTATAGCACGAATTTGACAAAAGTGTGCGGGCCTCTGGGAATGAAAGGATATTGTTTGTTTTAGAAGGATAATGTTGAAAAGCAAGGTTTTTGTAGTTTAAATCTAAGAGTCCAACATGATGTGGCATACTAAAATGAAAATGTGGAGCTACATATCGAGGCATACTAAAAAAAAAGTCAAATATGTAGTTGCAGAGTGGTGAAACTCTGTTTTTTGAAAAACTATTCTGTTTTGGCTTTACTCTTTATCAGAGGTTGTTGCTATCCTCGATTGTCCATGTAATCTTTGTGTTGAAGCTATTTTACACATAGTAGATACTGCGTATTAATTTTGATTCTTGAGATTGTTAACTACTTGATAGCAAAAGGCTACATAATCTTTCACCTAACTGGGTGAGTGTGGGGGTTGGTGTTTGTCTCATGCCATTTTTCATTCTGGTGCATGCATAATTCTGCGATCACTTGGAGCTCTATATTTATTTACTGGAACTGTATAACAGGATTTACTGGATGATCTTGTTCTTGGAGTTGATAGAGCTACAACCACAACCGTAGGTGAGACGCCATTGCATCCATGTGGCATTACGGATCACATGGAGAACATGTTAACTCAAAACTTTAAACTGGTAAAGTCCTTTGAGAATGAAGTTCACACCTTCCGTAGTCAAGTTGTTGAAGGAGATGCTGCAATTGGAAATACCCTGCTGGGACATTTCAGTGATATATTTGAGAAGGTATTAGATATTTCTATTAGCAATTATAGTATAAGTATTTCTCCGGACACTGTTGTCTAATAAGATGAGCATCATCACTGTATTAATTCACATTTGGTCTACATTCATATCTGAAATTCTTTTGCAATTCTCAGGCCAACTTCATTGCTGGACAGTTCAGTTCTGACTGTGATTCTTCAGAAAATAAAATTTACTCCAACGATCATTTAGTAAATATCGCTGATGCTGAAGATCGTTTTGGTATGTTGCTGTTGGAGACCTGCAAATATATTATGGATGCTCTTCATGCAATGGGCTCAGTAGAGTTTGATATCCCTGATAAGCTGAATATCTGTGTGTGGAAGGAGCTCTTGCAGTCAAATATTGCTAAACTACAGCTGGATGTAATTAGTGATAGATTACTTGAGACTATCTGTCTTTCTGTGAGTTCTGCTCTATTCTTTCTTTTTTATAGATCTTGTTGGTGGTGGTATTGTTGCATAGATCTGTCATCTTTGGGTGTTTCACACTAATTATGTTCCTCGTTTATTTGCTTTGTGCAGAGAAAAATATTGAATTATTATGGAAGCAGAAATCCAAGCTCAACTTCGCTCATTAGATCACATCTAAAACATCTTTATTTGTTGTCGAATGCAATCCTGGCTATTGGTGAAGGCCTTCTGCACCGTTTCCTGATGATGCACACCATGGTATGTGTATTATTTATTTTTATGATTTGCATAAAGTGGGTTTCAACTGGGTTGTTGTTGTTGTTTTGTTGCTTACAGTGGTAGATCTTGACCCCCCTCCCCCCTCGAAAAAAACAAATGTACTTGAGATTATATTGAGTTTGTTGTATTATTTTTTACCTGAAGCTTTTCATGTTTTCATGGGCAGCCTTCTTTTCGTGTAGGCTAAAAGGGGATTTATATACAACATTGATTGTTATACCTATTTGACTTTGTATTTCTGCATCATCACAAAATGCAGGTATCTGTGATGACCCATGTCCTAGCAGAAGTTTTTTCATCACTATTTGTCAATGGATATGGATGTAAAGAAGACCAAACAAATGAGTCTGGCCAGAGTGATACTCATGATGCAAGTGGTACTGGCATGGGTGAGGGCACTGGATGTAATGACATTAGTGATCAAATAACTGATGAAGATCAGGTTCTTGGGGCTTCCAATGAAGTATGGATTGACCTAATTTAATTCTTGTATTTTGTTCATCTCAAATCTGTTGTTTTCATTTTGGTATCTGACAGTCTGTGATATATGGTTTGCAGCCAAATGAGCAACAAAATAATGCTCCAAATGACATGTCAAGTGCAAAAGACAAGGGCATTGAGATGGAAGATGATTTTATAGCTGAAACATGTAGTGTCAGTGAAGATTCTGTTGATGATGAGGATGGCACTGAAGAGGATGGGGAATTAGATTCTGCTATGGGACCGACTGGCGATCACAGTGAAAAAGTTGATGAGAAACCTTGGGATGGGGAAGGAAATGAAGATAATGATAGCATAGATGAGAAGTATAAGTCTGGGCAATCAGTAAAAGATAAAGGAGATGAGCAGGAACTACAAGCTAAAGATGATACTGTTGCTTATGATGATGAAAAAGAAACAGAAGGCCCCGATCCTGGGGAATTTGGGAAACAACATGATGAAAATGGGAATGAAGGCTTTGACGATGAAACCGAAGACATGAATTTAGATGAAGAAAATGCACATGTGGATCCGACAGATTTGAAACTTGATGAACAAGATCCAGGTCAAGTAGGTGATAGTGGTGCTTTGGACCCATCAGAAGAGGTTGAATGCATGGAGGAAGAAGATACAAATCCAGATGACTCTGTTAAAGGTGAGAATGAAGAGGAGACAACAAACTCAATGGATGATACTCCGGGAGAAACAAATGACAAACAAATGTATGAAAAAATGTCTGGGGAGGGTCAAGAGGGGGATAGCCATCATGATAGTTGCACGAACGAGGAACTACTGGATCCAAAGAGAGACAGAATTCAGCCCAAGGCTTCTCCTTTTCCGGCTCAATCTTCGGGGAATGGTCGAATTGGTTTAGGACTACCAGATATAGTCAAAGACTCTAATGGTGAAAATTCCAATAACAGTGTGGAAGAGACAGACCAGTCTAATGGCAGTGGACTAGAGCATAAGCTTGATCCTGGGAGAGGCTTTAATGATAAAGATCAGGATATCATGGTGGCTGACTCATCCAATGGCGATAAGTTAAGTGGTTATAAACATGAAACTCCAGTCCCTCAAGTTAACAATCTATCACTTAATGGGAGTCAACCAAATCCATGTCGTAATGTTGGGGATGCACTTGATGCCTGGAAAGAAAGAGTGAATGTCTCTATTGACATTGAGGATAACTTACAGAGTGCAGATGACTTTGTAGATAATGATGCAAAAGAATATGGATATACTGCTGAATTTGATAAGGGGACAGCCCAAGCAATTGGGCCAGCAACCACTGACCAGATTGATAGAAATGTGAGGGGAAATGATGTTGAAGGAGATGATGCTGGAATGAATGAAAAAAACAAATATGCTAATGAACTGGATCTTGATAAGCTTCAACGACATTCTCAACCTGTTGTCAGTTCTGCTTCAAAGTTCAACAATGATATAGAAATGCAATTGGAGAAGTCAGAAGCAGACAAACAACTTGAACAATCTGCTGCAGAGGATCACGGTTATGGTGGTGATGACCCAAGTAGTTCATCATTGGATATGGTTTCCGTGGTGAGAAATTATTTAAGTGAGGATATAAATCAACTCAGCAATCTTTCCGTGACTGATGATGACTTGGGTAGGGCTTCCAACCTTGCAGAAGAAGCAACATGTGACTTGAGTGATGCTGCTTCTCTTTGGAGAATGTATGAACTTCGCACTACAAGGCTTTCTCAGGAGTTAGCTGAACAGTTACGTTTGATAATGGAGCCCACTATAGCTAGCAAGCTGCAAGGGGATTACAGAACTGGCAAAAGGATAAATATGAAAAAAGTATGTTTTTAAGCAGACAAGGGAATGCTTTTTTACATTCTGTATACGGCATGACCATTTCTAATTAATAGCCTCTCGATCAGAAGTTTACTAATTTATTGTGTTATTAATTGCTAAGCCTATAATTTTTTCACTCATCAAAGTATATGCCATTTATCTTAAATAGTGCTTTTTTTTTCAATGAACACATTTTAAAATTCTGTCATATTAACTTTATTGAGAATTCTGGAATTGAACGTTAGAAAGATGAAGTTGAAGATGATGGTTGTGTGTTAGATCCTATTTAGATAGAGTCATTTGTAACATGGTATTGTTTTCCCCCCAGGTAATTACCTATATTGCAAGTCATTATCGAAATGATAAGATATGGCTGCGCCGTACAAAGCCAAACAAACGTGATTATCAAGTTGTCGTTGCTGTGGATGATTCTGAAAGCATGTCTGAATCCCGTTGTGGGTGTGTTGCTATTGAAGCTTTGGTGACAGTCTGTCGTGCTATGTCTCAGTTGGAGGTGGGCAAATTGGCTGTCACAAGCTTTGGGAAAAAGGGGAATATCCGGTTGTTGCATGATTTCGACCAACCTTTTACTGCGGATGCTGGGATTAAGGTCAGTGAGTAATCTATTTATGGGAATTGCATTCATATGTAGGTGTTTGCTTGTAGTTTTTTTCAGCTTCTTTTCTATTCAACAATTCTTATTTTTTTTATAACTAAGCAGATGATTTCAAGTTTTACATTCAAGCAAGGAAACTCAATAGCCGAAGAACCAATGGGTGATCTAGTGAAGTATTTAAACAATATGCTTGATGAAGCTGTCCTTAGTGCAAGGCTGCCAGCTGGAGATAGTCCTCTCCAGCAACTTGTTTTGATAATAGCAGATGGTCGATTTCATGAGAATCCGGTATAGTTCTCTATGGATGATGTCCACAAACTTTAATTTGGATCTCCTCTGCCTTCATAATGGATGAACAATGTATTTAAAATAAATTTTTCAAAATTCATCTTTTACAGGAAAAATTGAAGTGGCGTGTTAGAGACCTGATGAATAAAAAGCGCTTAGTTGCATTTCTGCTGCTAGATGACCCTAATGCTTCCATCTTGGACCTCGGGGTATTCCATCTATCTCACTCATTCTTTGATTCGAGGAAGTAACCGAAGAAAATGATGAATTTTCCAGTTTTAATGAATGAATGTATATATGGGTTACAGGACGTCACATTCCCAGGAGGTGTCTATAAGTGGAACAAGTACATGGACTCGTTTCCCTTCCCGTATTATTTGGTGTTGAAGGACATAGCGTCCCTTCCTAGGACACTAGCCGATTTGTTGAGACAGGTAAGTCCAGATATAGTGAACAAGTTGTTTTGTTTTTTCTTTTCTTTTTTCGTATCGGTTTTTTTTTGTCATCTTCTGATGGTGAATATGGTATGTGTATCTGCAGTGGTTCGAGCTGATGCAGTCCTCAAGAGACTAACCACGGTTGTAGTTGTCGACATTTTTGTTAGGGGAAACTATCCTGGTGCCTCCAGAATTTTTGGGGAGCCTGTCTGAGCAGCAGGTGAATTCTTTATTAGGGACCTGTCTTTACTGATAGTAAATATTTTTTTCTGTCCCTAAGCGATACAATAGTTATTATCAAATGTTAATGGTACCCAGGAAATCACTCATTAATGATTAATTAATTAATAGCTGATGGCTTTGTTTCCATGGAAGTGTTTATATTTACTAACCAGCCGTAGAAGTAGAGTTAACTACACATGGCACGCCTGGTTTAGTCAAGTAACCAACCTTCTCTTGAGCAATTTCAATTTTGCCCCTAACTTTTCCTCCAGCTTCCTTTTTCCTTCCCTTTGTACAATCTGTTTTCCCATGAAGGGGTTGTATCGCCGGTATTCATCGGTCCCAAAATGAAGTAGCAATGCCCCGATTTCTCTGCTTACGGGGTATTCCATCCGCCCCAAAATGAACATGCATACACCTATTCCTAAAATGTACGTAAAAGTGGAGGTAAAAAAAATGCAAGAGCTACTCCTAACCAGAAATGGTTTCTAAAAGAAAAAAATGTTTCGTTTATCTATTTTTGTGACTTATTTGACAAACTATTCCCAACCATGTCGGATTTTCGTTTCTCTGATTGGAATGTTTCGTTTCAAAAGAAAAATATCTTGTATCTGTAAGAGAAAGAAAGTAAATAAAGTTATATTGTGCTTTGTTCAAAAAAAAAAGTAAATAAAGTTTGATCCTGTGAATAATAAATAGACAATTAAATTTGGGATAGAATGAACAATATACAATATGATTTTAAATTTTAATTAGAAATTCACAATTAAAACGTGGCAATTGAAGTTTGGAGTTGGTAATGGGAGTTTTGAGTGTGGTCATTAGAGTTTTAAGAATATAAAGTTAAAGGGTATCAGTTAATTTAATAACCTACATGCATTCTCAAAACGACGCAGTATTCTCTAATCCCATCGTTTTTGGGATATGAAGGAGGGACAGAAGAATTGACGAAAAATAATGAGATAAATAAAAAAATTAAAAAATAACGAGACAAATTGAGTAGTCCGTATAAGTTTTAGGCTTTACGGGCCATTTGAATTGGGCTTTAAAAAAGTCGTAAAAAGGTTTTTTAAAAAAGCCGAGCTCGCGTGTGCAAGTGAGATATTATTTTATTTAAAGGTTAAATTTAAAAAAGCACACAAACGTTTAATTCAAAATTTCACGTAAATATTATTCTCATTGTTTTAGAGTAATTTATTTAGAGAATACTTTTTGTTACTCATTGTATTTAGTTTAGAATTAGGTAAATGCTCATAAACACAATCTTCACAAACTTATTATTTATGAACTTTAATAAAAAAAATTAAATATTTTAAAATAATTTTAAAATGAGAATATAGACCATAAATATTTGCGAGCCTAGCATTGCTCTTAGAATTATTTTGAATACTCTTAAAATTGATTTGGAGATTTGAAAATTTACTTATTTAAATTGCCCCGTAAGCACAGAAATATGCAATTTAAATTGTTTGGCGGAATTGGTAAATTTTTAAATTAGACATTTACCAATTCTTTGGTAAATATGGGGAGAATTGATAAATTTACTACTTTGGTACGGTATTTCCTACTCCCTACGTCCACATTTTTATTACAATTTTATTTTTTTCTTTCTTCTCAAAAATTTTTATTTGTTTGTGTGTTTTCATTGATTATTTGATTACATAAAATATTCATGTTCCTCTTATTTTGTAAAGTTTTTTATGTAGTTTTTTAATATGTAATTTTTATTTCTTATTGATGTAATAATTTGTAAATAAAATTATTTCAAACATCGTAAAATTTTATCTCGTAATTCCCATTTTGTAATCAAGATAGAGACAGAGGGAATGTTTTATTTGGATTCTTATTAGGTTTCCGAGCTTTTGAGCATTTAGATCTGAAGTTGATGTCCAATTTTCAATCATGTATTCATATGAGTGCAATTGGCTGGTCCGGCCCATGTTTAAAATCAATTGTGTTTTGTGATTGTTGGGAGTAAACTTTGATGTATGAGGGAAATAAACTTGATACCACGTAATTACGTATCATATAAGCTTTAAACTTATAAAAAGAATTTAATATTTCCTCCGTCCCAAGATGATTGCTACATTTCCTTTTTCAACTATCACGTGAACTTTTTTACTTATTTATACGTTTGTATTTATTATTTAATAAAATAAAATATTCTTGATACCTCTCATTTTGAAGAATTTTTCATGTAGTTTTTAAATATGTAAATTTTATTTTTTATTTCTATACCAATATTTAAATAAAATGAATTGAAAAAGTTGATATTTTACCTCATTTTTCAGATTTAGTGTGGTAGTACTTAGGTTGTTCATCGGTTCAAGAATAGATTATATTAAATCAAACCGAAGATTGAATTGAGCAAACACTGACTACCAAGGGTTGCCGCCTATTGTCCCCTACTATGACTTCGTAATATCATTAAATGAACGTGCACTTCACATTTGCTAACTCGTTTGATAATGTCTATTCAAATTCTTGTCTCATCTTAGTAAACTCAAAGTTATGCATGATGTAGTAGATTAATTAAAGTTATGCATAAATAAAAAACGTCACGACGATTGAATTTTCTTCTTAGTACATTACACATTCATTTAATAACTTCGTAGTTCGGTTTTTATCGAATACCAAATTATTACTCCATATTACTATTTTAAATATTTTGAAGTTTGAATTCCAACCTTGAGGCCAAGCCAATCATATAGCGGAATCTCACCTTTTATTTATTTGTGAAATATAAGTATTTTCTAAAATTCAATTAAGTAACCGTTAGCGTCCAAACAGCGACCCAAAACTCACAAACATGAGAAATGTGGGATTATTTTCCGTGACAATGAAAAGTAAGATTATTTTTGGAAGAGCACGAAAAGGTGAGATTATTTGAGATAATATTTCTTTTTTTGATGCGTTGTTTATTTACTTCAATCTTTTTCGTTTAAAAAATCATTTTAAGTAGGAGTAAAAAATAGAAAAATTATTGAAATAGAAGTTACATGTTCTTAATCCATAAATTGCAGTTCGTACGGTAGTAATGTGACACAATATATGGACATTTTACTATACTTTTTTGTAATGTATACGATCGTGATTGGTAATGTAAATACATTATAATTCCTACTTTAGAAATAAAAACATGGAATTCCTATTTTAATATATTTTTAATATATAACTTCTACTTTAATCTTTTTTCCTATTCGTTTGTGTTAATTATCAAAAAAAATTAAACTCCATTCGATCGTAAAAACCTTTTCTCTCACATTTTTTTCTCAAATGTTAACACGCATGCCATTCCGAGACCTATAACAAAAAATTAAGGGTATGTTTGGATTGAGGGAGGTGGAGGTAAGGTAAGGTTACATTAAATAGTTAGCATTTTTCTGGAAAATGTTGGACGGAGGTCACTTTGTTATTATTTATATTGAGATCAATATAACAAACTGCGGAGTAATGAAGTACAAAACAAACACAAGGGTATTGAAGTAATTTTATTTTATTTACCTACATTACATTACCTAATAAATATCCAAATACAATTTTTTAACTTACTAGTATTATCTTACTTTACCCACCATTGCATACCATTATCTACCTAATAAAATTTTCATACTCCCCCTCCGTCCCCAATTTGATTACAAATTGCGGGTTACAGAGTGAAATTTTCTATTTTTTGAAATCATTTTATTTACAAATTGGTAATCTGTATATCAATAAGATATAAAAATTACATACTAAAAAACTACGTCAAAAGTTCTACAAAACAAGAGTCAAGAGGTGATAAAAATATTTTATTTTATTAAATAATTAATAAAATCGCATAAGCAAACAAAAATTATCCATTGTAATCTATTTAGGGAGGAAGGGAGCATTATTTACAATATTTGTTTTACTATATATTTCGCCTTTCTCCGTTGTGCATCATCGCGGAGGAGAAAAAAAAGAAAGCCCATCGCCTTTATCCGCTGTTTCTTCCGCATCTGTTCTTCTTCGTTCCACGCCGCGACCAGCGATTCCCCATCGCTTCCATCGCCAGTCGACGTCGAACATCGCCATCTTCCCCTTCATCACGCAGCGGCTTCGAAGGTAAGCACGGCAGTAGCAGGGGCGGGAGGCAGAGCAGCAGGGAAACAATTCTTCTGGACTCCGAAAGAGAATTCGGAAATTTCAGATCCCTAAAGGTCCAGGTACCTCCAATTTATCATGTATATTTCATATTGTAGTATCCGATTTACACATGAATGCTATTTGATATATGAATTAGGAATTGATTTCTGTACAAGTATAGTACAAATTGAAGACCCAAAAGACCTACAGTATGAATTAGGAATTGATTTACCACTGCAAATTGAAGACCTAAAATGGGTAATTACGGTAAAGTACTCAGTTTTCAAAGGAGAAACGAACTCGGAATTTTTTTTGCAGACAATATGAATGAATACAGTACTTTTGCAATATGAACTCAGAAACTTGAATGAACAATATGATGAAGGCCACCATCAGTTTTCTAAGTACCTTTTCCGTTTTTGCATTTTTTTTAATTATGTAAAATTGAAGGCCACCATTCAATTGGATTCTGTAAAATTGCATTCTATAAAAAGCCCAACCAAAGGAAAAAAAACTCTGCAACAGTTTCAAAAAAAAAAAAGAAATTAAGATGTTTTTTGAAACTTTCAATGGACATGTTTTTATTTGGGCTAATAATAATAATAATAAAGAACTATTAGTTCTTGAAAGATATTGTGCAAATTCCTTCTCTCTGACGACTTTTGCATAAACGTAAATCTATCATCTTTCATACATGTGCATAAGTTTTTATCATGCGCATTTTGATATTGATGTTTAATTCATGCTTGTTCAAACATCAATTTATTCCTCGTATGTCTTCATATGAAAAAAATTGTTTGGTAGGGACATAAATAAAACTCTTTAGATAGTATTATGCCTTGTGAGTGATAAATTTTTGAATACCCATTGTGTGGTGTTAATCACCACATATACTTCCTTGTTAATATACTAATACGTGTACATGTTTTATAAACATGAATTGATGCACAATTTTATCCATCCGTACCTTTAATGTCAATTATGTTTAACACATTTTGCAAGCATACCAAAACTTAAAACTCATCATTCCTTTCATATGTAAGATATACATACATATACTCCGAAAAAGAGAACTTACATTAAAGTGTCAATTTTTTTGTGTGCAAATTAGAACCTGAAGTTCGTCAAGAATGTATTTTTATATACACTAACTTGCCTAAATACATTTTTTTGGTAGTTAAAATGTCAAACCTTTCAAAACTTGATTTTATTGAACTCGACATATCTGGAAAAAACTTCCTCACGTGGACCTTAGATGCAAAAATCTACCTCATGGCAAAAGAATCTAGGAGACACAATTTCTGAATGAAATGAAGTTTCTGTTCAAGATAAGGCAAAAGCCATGATATTCCTCCGTCATCACCTCCACGAAGATCTAAAAAAGGAGTATCTCACCATTGAAGATCCCCTCAAATTGTGGAACAACATTCAAGAGCGCTTTAATCACGAAGTTGATTTTACTGCCAAAGGCTCGTTATGAATGGCTCCATCTAAGACTACAAGATTATAAATCAGTCTCTGAGTACAATTCTGCACTTTTCAGCATCACCTCCGTCCTGAAGTTATGCAGAGAACCAATAACTGATAAAAAGATGTTTGAAAAGACTTTTTCTACGTTCCATACATTTAATAATAATCTGTCGGAGCAATACAGAGAACGTAAATTCACTAAGTACTGTGATTTGATATCATGTCTATTGGTAGCAGAACAAAGCAAAGAGCTACTCGTGCGAAATAATCAAGCACGACCAGTTGGTATGCGCCCATTCCCTGAAGTGAATGTGGAAACTACTCAGAGTGGACGAGGGAGAGGAAGAGGCCACGGCCCCAACAGAGGTCATGGTCGTGGACGAAGCAATACATGGCATTGAGATTCTTATAATTCTAAGCATGGTGCTTTATTAAATGAATGGATATTAATCATTATTTTATTTCTTGAAGAAATATGAACACAAGCTCCAGCAAAGATCTTATTGGTGATGAATGTTCGGTAGATAGTGGTAGTACCAACACAATCCTAAAACATAAGAAATATTTATCTGAATTATTTCCAATCAAAACACTTGTTGGTACTATCTCGGGTGTTAGTGACCTAATTGAAGGCTTTGGAAGAGCATGCATCATATTACCCTCGGGTACCAAATTAATCATAAATGATGCATTATACTCAAGTAAATTTAGAAGAAATTTACTTAGTTTCAAAGATATAAGACAAAATGGTTACCACCTCAAAACCACATCCGAAAATAGTAGAGAATACCTACAAATTATTTCCAATGAGGACACTTTAGAAAAGCTAGAAGCTTTATCCTCTGGATTATATTGTACTACTATTAATCCTATTGAGTCATATATGGTAAGTAATCAGAAGTTACTAGATAGAGACACTTTTACCATATGGCATGATCGACTAGGTCACCCTGGCAGTACCATGATGAGACGCATAATCAAAAATGCGAATGGGCATTCACTCAAAAATCTAAAAATCTTACTGCCACAAGATTTATCTTGTGCAGCATGCTCTTTGAGAAAATTTATTACACGGCCCTCCCAAATAAAATTGATATATGAAAATCCTTCATTTTTGGAAAATATCCAAGGGGACATCTGTGGGCCCATACACCCTCCATGTTGACCTTTCCGCTATTTCTTAGTGTTGATTGATGCCTCCTCACGATGGTCCATGTGAGTTTTCTAGCTACTAGAAATGTAGCGTTTGCGCGACTTTAAGCCCAAATCACACAATTAAGAGCGCATTTCCTAGAAAATCAAATTAAAAATATTCGCATGGATAATGCAGGAGAATTTACATCCCAAGCTTTTGATGATTATTGCATGTCAATTGGGATAAATGTTGAACATCTAGTAGCTCATGTTCATACACAAAATGGTTTAGCTGAATCATTAAGTAAAAGATTACAGTTAATTGCTAGAACGCTTCTGATGAGAAGTAAATTGCCATCTTCAGCATGGGTGCACACTATTTTACATGCTGTTGCACTGATGAGACTAAGACCAACTGCTGATCAAGAATACTCCCTACTTCAACTGGTCTCCGGAAGGGAACCAAATCTGTCCCATTTAAAAATATTTGGTTGCGCAGTTTACGTCCCAATACCGCCACCATAGCGTACCAAAATGGGACCCCAGAGAAGACTGGGCATTTATATTGGTTTTAACTCTGCGTCTATTATAAAATATTTGTAAGCATCGACGGGAGATATGTTTACAGCACGGTATTCCCAGTCTTAGGGGGAGACAAGAATAAAGAAAGCCTGGTAGCACAAGAAGTAATATGGAATGTATCATCACTATCGATACTCGACCCCCGAAGTTGTCAATGTGATTCCGAAGTCCAAAAGATCATAGATCATACATTTGCAGCGCATAGCAAATGAATTACCAGTTGCATTCATAAATACAGATAGAGTGACAAATTCACATATACCAGCATCTAATGCACCTGCTCGTATTGAAGTAATCCCAGAAGCGATTACCATACAAAGAAAACGTGGGAGACCAATCGGTTCCAAAGATAAGAACCCACGGAAGTGAAAAGAGCAAAATTTTGCAGTTGGTGAAACCACAGAGAAGATTATAAAAGATACCCCTGTAGAGGTAAATGTCCCAGAAGAGACTAATACATTTTCAGAGGAAAATGATATTACCGAAGAAAGACTGGTACCAAATGAAAATGAGATCTCTATTAATTATGTACAAATTATGTACAAGACAGCACAATATGAAACCGGCATGAAACACGTGTTGATGAAATTTTTGCATATGCTATAGTAATGGATGTACTAAATGAGAATGATTACGTACCTAAAACTCTAGAAGAGTGCATGCACATGAATGATTGGCCTAAATGGAAAGAGGTTGTGAACGCTGAACTTGAATCACTTCACAAACGAAATGTTTTCGGACCTGTAGTCCGAACACCCATAAACGTCAAACCAGTGGGTTATAAATGGGTGTTTGCAATAAAAAGAAATGAAAAGAATGAGATTATGCGATATAAGGCACGACTTGTAGCACAAGGGTTTCCCCAAATCTCAGGAGTTGATTATGAGGAAACGTACTCCCCTGTAGTGGATGCGATAACCCTTAGATTCTTAATCGGCCTCACAATTTGAGAAGGACTTCAGATGAAACTTATGGATGTTGTCACAACATACTTATATGGGACACTTGAGAATAACATCTATATGAAAATCCCTAAAGGATTCAAAATGTTAGAAGCATTAAAATCAGTACCTCGAGACATGTGTGCTATACAACTCAAAAGATTTTTATATGGTCTCAAGCAATCTGGTCGTATGTGGTACAATCGACCTAGCAAATATCTTGAAAAGCATGGTTTTAAATCTGATGTAATTAGTTCATGTGTTTTCATAAAAAGATCACTCTCTAAATTCACTATTGTAGCAGTTTACGTTGACGATATAAACATCATTGTATCTCCCGAAGAGATAGAAAAAACTGCTAAACTCTTGAAGAGAGAATTTGAGATGAAGGACCTTGGCACAACAAAATTATGTCTCGGTTTGCAATTCGAACATTTGCGCAATGACATATTCGTCCACCAGTCAAACTACATCCAAAAGATGTTAGTACGTTTTAATATGGACAAAGCACGTCCGTTGAGCATACCCATGGTTGTCCAATCTTTAGATATACATAAAGATCCTTATCGCCCCTAAGAAGAGGGTGTAGAAGTACTTGGTCCAGAAGTACCATATTTAAGCGCGATCGGTGCACTCATGTATCTTGCGAATAATACAAGGCCTGATATTGCATTCTCAGTACATCTATTAACAAGATTCTGTTCAAGCCCAACACGTAGACATTGGAATGGGATAAAACAAATATTTCGATATATTTGTGGGACATATGATGAATAAAGGATTCAGTTTACAACAGAGAGATTGTAATTTTTAAGAAATATAAGAAAAGTGTGTTTTAATCTTGAGTTTCCAAAAATATCTTTGGATGTGTTGGGTAAAAATAGCATTTGATAGATAGATGAATATTAAATAGATGTGATAACTAGTTTAAGAATTAATAAAGGTAAAAATGATTTTTTAATAAAAATGATAAGAGTTTTTTGAGACGGATAACAATGGAGTATTATTTTTACTTTGGATATAAAAATAATAGAATTGCATTCGGAATTTCTCCAACCATCCGGCTGAAGGACCCTGAGGTTCAACCATGGCTATGGCGCTGGTGTCTATAGCTCGCGGACCCATGAGGATGAGGAAGCTCTTACCATTCATTTACCGTCGTCCGGCGTCTACTATCCCCTCTCATTCTACCAGTTTTGGTTAGTATAATCATAGCAATTTCTATTATAATCCGGTCACATTAGGACTCATTGATGATGAAATTATCGCTGTTTCCTTGAATTGCGCTATGTACAGTGCGAGTGCAAAAGCGAAGAGCATTTACTTTGACGATTGTGGATTCAGGGTTTAAGGAGGTGCCTGAAGAAGAAAAGAGCAAGTTCGTTGGAAATGTGTTCACCAGTGTTGCTTCGAACTACGATCTCATGAACGATTTGATGAGTGGGGGGCTGCACAGGCTATGGAAGGACCAGTTAGGTCACTGATCTCTCTTGCTCAAGAATCTTGTATTCTGGAACTTTTGAGTTTGCTGAGATTGATTTTTTTCGTTTCTGTCAGGTTTGTGTCCAAATTGAACCCTTTTCCTGGAATGAAGCATCTTGATGTTGCTGGTGGAACAGGTGAGTGTATGATGATTATGCAATTTTCGTTGGTTGAAACTTTGGTAGAAGCTTCATACGATTCTTTGCCTGCAAGCATTAGCACCCTTGGCTATCTTTTTCTAAGGAGACTGTGCTCCCTAAAACGGTAGTGTTGTAGGCGACACATTGACCAAACAGTGAGAAATATTAAATTTTTGGGTCTCGGTGTTACGAGGTCTTATCAAACATGGACTCCATAGTCACAAAACATTATTCCCTCATGGGTTATATTAATATTTACTCCGTATATGAAGTGTCTGACAACCTTATGCCTATGTTAAATAGTGTATTATTAGATGCCTGTAGTTTAATGTTTGAAAATCATGTTTTAATCAAGATGCTCAAATTGTGGAATTCAACTGAGTGGGTTTGTTGTTGTTGTTGTAATAAAGATGCTCAAAGGTCACAACTATGGTATACCCAAAAATGATAAAGTTGATAATGATGGGGTTTTAACTAAGTCATTGGTAGTAGGCCGAGATGTAGAATTATGAGGGTAGCACAGTTTCAAAATGTGCTATGCATTACTAACCCATTTGATGCATTTGAAATTTCAGTTCTGAGTCTTCTGACTTAAATGGGTAGAAAGATGTCTGGGCAATGGTCTGTTTCCTTTATGATCATGAACTAGCAACTACAGCTTGGTATTTAACTTGCTAAGTATTACAGGAGATGTTGCATTCAGGATTCTTGAAAATATCAAATGTATAAAACGCAGAGCACTACAAGATATAATTGATGATAAAGTGATGGAGGAAACCCAAATTTTTGTATGCGACATCAACCCTAACATGTTACGCGTTGGTAAGAAGCGGGCTCAGGAAAGAGGTAACGTCCAATACCTTCATTGCTCTTAATTAAAGAAAAGTTGTCTTATTCTCCAAGTACACCTAATACAAATATTTTTGTCATTAACCATGTCTCTTGAAGTGCAATGCTGTTTTGAAATATGTAGGTATTGCGAATGACAAATCACTCATTTGGGTTGAGGGAGATGCTGAAGACTTGAAATTTGAAAACAGTTCCATGGACGGTTACACAATTGCCTTCGGGATTAGGAATGTCACACATATCGACAAGGTTCTTTCTGAAGCTTATAGGTATGTTAAAGCCATTCCAAACTAGATGCACAACTGCATTTAAGATTAGGAACTTTACACATTTTGGAAAGGTTAATTTCGAAGTGTATAGCTATTTCTAAAGCACTTCGAGTCCAATAATGACAAAGAGGAAAGCCTTTTTTACCATGCGTCTTTTACTTTTATACTTGCATGTTCTATTTGTTCAATAATATGGTGTTATTTGGGCATGCATTTTGTTGTTCAAGTTATAAGTTTTTCATCCAGCGCAATTGACGGGGTTTGTGTGGCTCTCTGGTTTGTTTCTTAGGGTGCTCAAGCCAGGTGGAAGATTCCTTTGCCTTGAACTAAGCCATGTTGATGTGCCAATTCTTAAAGACCTGTAAGTATTATGACATAAACTATATGATAGTGCACTGTATTTTATTGGATATATTGGAGCTTCTATTTGGATGTCTGGTATCATTGTCTTGGAAACTAGTTAGATGTTTTCAGAATTCTAATCCATTTTTCTTCTTTTTGTTCTTGAGAAATTAAGTGTATTTTATCTGCTTCTACTGAAGATAGACTGAAGATATACTGTGTTCTCTTCCATATTTTTGTGCAGGTGGAGCCGGGGGTCTCTTGGAAACAGCCTCCCTACTTCCGAGTAGGGGCAAGGTCTGCGTACACACACCCTCCCCAGACCCTACTGTTGTGGGATTCAACTGGGTTGTTGTTGTTGTACTGAAGATAGACTGAACCATTTCTAAATTGGAACTCAAAATGAATGATGCCTCACATTGTCTTAATTTTTTTAAGCATCCCTATGGTGCACTGCATTGGTACACTGAGTACACTCTAAGATTTTTTTATAAATCTCCTTCAGGTATGATTTATATTCATTCTCAGTCATTCCAGCAGTTGGTGAGATAGTGACAGGTGATCGTGAGTCTTATCAGTACTTGGTTGAAAGCATTCGCCGTTTTCCTTCACAGGTAATCCTGGGCTTTCAACTTTATATGCTAGGGGGGGATTATGTGCAGTTATAGTGACAATTGGTGTGTTCTGGCCAACTGGTGGCAGCCTGTCAAAATTTAGGAACATCTCTCATTGCCCGGATATAAATGCACTTTTTTCACTCTCTAAATCTGTTTCAAATCATGAAGCCGCTGAGCATCATAAACTCATAAATGACATAATGTTTGTGATGACATAACAGTAAGGTAAATGCTATTCTGACACTAGAGATGACACTATGGATGACACCATTGTGTCTCATAGTCAGTCTTCTACAAACAATCATTGTATGTGTGTCTACGAGACACAACAATGTCTTCTGTGATGTCATCGTAGCATGACTATAACAATAATGCTAGACAGTACGCTAGAAACTGTGATGTTTAGTAGAACCTTTTTTGCCTGTCAGCCCGATTAGCCAAATTTTATGGCAAACTCCAACTTATTTGATTCACACTTATTTAACTGGTTGGAAATGAAAAAATGTACTCTACGTTACTTTTTTTTGTTGCTTAAATGACGGAAAGGAGCATAAATTACTCGTCTACCCTTATTTTCAAATATTATTTTCTTCACCTTATCTTAAACAAATACTCCTATCCCATTTTACATGTCCTAGTTACACATATTTTTTCTTAGCTTGTTTTTCATCACATTTGAGTATCCCATTTACACATGTCCTAGTTACTTATATTTTACAGTATGATTAAATATGTATGTCACTGTTTGGGTATTTGCTGTTATAGAATTCATGGCCCAACTTTTAAATATGCAAGTTTTATTTGATAATCTTAAATTAAATATTACGCCGAACAAAACATTGTATTGAAAATAGTTGCCCCATTGGACTAGTACAGCACATATTCATCCTTCTCAACCAAATTTACTCTTACCAAACAGGCTATAATTCTTACAGTATGGTCTAAAACTCATCTTGAGAATATGATAGTGGACTGAAGATTTCTGTCTTATTTTTCGACCGCAGGAGAAGTTTGCCGGGATGATTGCAGAAGCAGGGTTTCAAAATGTAGGGTATGAGAATCTTGTGGGAGGAGTTGTTGCAATTCATTCTGGGTTCAAGTTCTGAGAGTCTAATATTTTTGGAGACTTTTAAATTGTTAATACTGCAGTTTTTCATTTGCTTTTGTCTTTTAAGGACTTTTAGATAAAAAAGCATTCAGCCAACTATCATTACTCTGTCTCGAAATAAAATTAATGTTTGCATTTTCACAAAGTTTTAAAAAATAGTCTGTAATTAGGTGACCAAATAGCACCACTACCTTCCCTGGTTTGGAAAATAAGTACCAATATTTTCAGTTCTTAAAACTCATTTTTAAAATTTTCGTGGCTTCAAAACGTTACACTCATACCTTCACGGATCATTTTCCGGCCACTTTTCAGGCGAAGGAGGCATTAGTGCCTATTTTTCATACTTTAGGAGGCACAGGTACTCATTTCTTATTTTTCGTTTATTTTTTGTTTTTTCGCTTTTTTCTTTATTTAGTTTCTATTATTCATCAAGGTTTTTTAAATTTATTTTTAAAATTTCTTACAAAGTTTCTAAAATTTAAAAATACTTTTGTTTGAAAAAATTATTAACTTATACTGTATCTTAATGTCTCAAATTAATATTTTTTTTTCCGAAATAATATAAACAAAAAATAAAAAGGAATATCCTTTTTTGACATCTCAATTCTAAGGATTTTTTTAGGTGTTCTTAAAATTTCTTTTTGTGTAAGACTCTTTATGCATGTTTCAACTTTTTTCATTTTGTTTTTCCATTTTTTTTATTTTTTTTATTCTGGATTTTCTTTTTGAACTTAACAAAATTATTCTAGAAAACGGAAAGTGAAAATGTTTAATTTGAGATAGATGGAATACATAATATTTTTTTATTTTTATTTCAAACACCAAGAATTTTTAATTTTTTAAAATATTATAAAAAATTGAAAAAAATTTCAAAACTTTTCTAAAAAAAGGAAAGATAGAGATAAAAAAGAGTTAAAAAAGGAAAAAACAAATAATAATTGAAAAATAAGAATAGAGCACGAGTTTCCCCTATGATTTTGAAATTAGGCACAAAGGCCCCTCCCCCTCGTGAGAAAATAATCATATGGGTGTAGGTAGGGGTGTTAAAAAATATCTGATCCGAAATATCTGTTCATGGTCTCGGTAGATCCGATCCGAAAAATGGATATCCGATCTGATATTTTAGCTTTCGAATATTTCAGATCGGATACCCGAGAAAAATCAGAATGGATATGGATTCAATTCCTAGAATTTTTTGGATAACCGGATATCCGGTTTGTTTTGCTATATGTTTAATGGAATTTTATGGATATATATTGGGTATATGTTTAATGCAATTTTATGTTGATCTTGGAACTCAAGCATTTTAGACTTTTTGCATTAGCATTTTGAAACTTTTTGTTTTAGTAGTACTTTTTTTTGTTTGTTTAGGCAAAATTACCAAAGTTACTCCCAAATTGAATTTGGTATCAATTTTATTTGGCCATTATCTTGTGGTGAAATTTTTCTTTTAGTAAATCTATTTTGAATTTGATATTGTGGGTTGATTTTACTATTTTACCACAATATCAAATTTTGAATTTGATATTGTGGGTTGATTTTACTATTTTACCCCTTTTTTCTTTGTAAATTTTACTATTTTACTATATATATATATATATATATATATATATATATATATGGTATTGACTCCGGTGAGATGACACCTTGTGGTGAGATGACATGTTTCAGTCAGATGACGCTGGAGCTCACCACTGATCACTGCAAATCTCACCACTGATCACTACAAAACTCACCACTGTCCACTGCAAAGCTCACCATGATTTTCCAACACTTTACCTTTTTTTTCAAAATTTGATGGTTAAATGCTTACAAAGCCTAGCAACAAAGCTCACTGAGTCTCATTGCAAAGCTCACTGACTCTCATTGCAAAGCTCATCGAATATGTGCACAAAACTCAACACACTTTAAAGTTTAAAATGATTTCAAAAAAAACAAAGGGCGGTGGTGCTTGTTACAATTTTTGTACGGATTACAACGGACGGGGAAGATGAACGGCCTCGGAAAATAAAAATAAATAAAATTCTGAATTTATAACTTATTGAGAATATTACAAGATAAACAGAATTGAAAATAAATTTACATATCTTCAAACAACCTTGTTGTATGAAGACATTGGACATCGAGGACATTATGCACTGGACAGCAAGGACATTATGCACTGAGCTGCGAGGACATTATGTACTAGGGCAGAATGCAGCGAGGTCTTTATGAACTAAACCTGCAAAACAAAACACCGTGAAGGACAGCGGAGTCGCCGGAGCTGTCCTTAAGGTAGTAGTGCCCGCCTACCGTACCGGAAAAACGTGGGCACTCTCCTCCCAGGATAAAACCGCTATCGTGTGTGGAGATGTACGGACCAACCACACACCAACGAACAAAAACAACGTAGGAACGTTGGCGACCAAAAAACTTTGAAGAGAATTGCCGGAAATTTGGCCGGAAAACCAAGAGCTCTCTCAAAAAAAATAAACAAGAAAGATTTTCTTTCTTTCTTTTTTGTTTCTCACGTGAAGCACCACAAAAATGATTGAGAGAGCTTTGATTTTTATAACAAAGGAGTTTTAAAAATTGTAACTCCTAAACCATTAACCCATGGAATTAATCATGGCATTTGTGGTGTGTTAATGGTGATTAATTAGCCATTAACACAACCGTTACGCTACGCTCCGTTTAAAATTTGTCCCGAATAATTAGAGATTAATGGCCAGTTAACTCCGTAAAAATGGACTAATTTTAAACAATACGTAAAAATTAATAAAAGAAGATTGGTTCAGTAAAATTGCAAAAATTGCAATCCTCACCATATTCTTTTATTAACGGGTTAACTCTGACAATCAATTTCTCATTCACCCTCTACCATTTTTGGCGTATAAATTGTCAAAACATTTATCTCATTTAAGAGAACACACGTCCATTAATTAACGGTTAAAACCGTTAGTGGACCTATTGATAAATATACCCAAATTGGTCCATTTAATGCCAATTAAAATGCCAAAAATTCCAACAATCCCCCACATGAATGAAAAATTGATTTGGGGTCGACAACATCCCATGGTTGGAAATCTGCATAGAACATGTAAGTGTCTCCACTTTTGAACATGTCCCTTGTAAAGTATACCTTCTTTACTAGCTGTTGAGTAGAACGCGATGTCTTTGAACTGTACTGCCGCTTGTGTAAACGATAGTATACAATACACAGATTTCAACCAAACGCCGTTCTGTTCTCATGGTTGTGCCCATTTTGGTCGTGGGACACGCGCCTGGTTCTGCGAGAGTGTTTAGAGGATTAAGCCCAAGATCCTCTGTTTGAAGCGACCACACTTCACTCTTACATAGGTGATTCTTTAAGAGTATCCCGCTTACTCCCCTTAGACCACCGTGTCTATTGGTTAAGAATCATTAAAGCATATTTATATGCTAACCTCATCATTTTCGGGAGTCACTGTCTTCAGCAGGAACAGAAGGGACTGACCGAAGGTTCCGGTACCGCCCCCACAGTGACCTCGCTTTATCCTACAAGTAGGTTGTCCCATTGAACCTGGGTACCAGCCAGGTTGGGTTTTCCTTCATAGGACTGTCCTAGCACAAGGGCTTCAAACCCATTCCTGCCACCAACTTCTCATGCAACTCAATTGTTAACCCTTTGGTTAGCGGATCCGCCAAATTATCTTTTGACTTCACATTGTCAATTGTGATAATCCAGTTGTGAGAAGTTGTCTAATGGTTTTGTGTGTACAACGAATATGTCTAGACTTACTATTATACATGTTACTCTTTGCACGTGTTCTTATGTATTTCTGAATCATCAGACCTATACACTAAAAATACCTGAAACCTTCCTATAAAGATTCCATCAATGCTCTTTGGACCAATCTTTATTTCCTTTGGTGGTGGTGCTAAAACTTTTGCAAGGCACCCCCACACTTTCAGGTATTTATAGGAAGGTTTCTTATTACACCACAACTCGTAAGGAGTCTTAACGAGTTTTTTTCAGGGTATTTTATTTAACAAATAATTGCTAGATAAAATAGCCTCCTTTAGGATCAATTTTCTTCTTGTCCTTATTTGACATAGGCCCTTTGGAAGAACCCTCTTCGAGTGGATGCTCCACCACATTGGCTTGAACTGTTGGCTCGCCCGCGTTTTCCCCCACAACAGGGGGATCCTCCCTCAAGTACCTCGCAAGGTTGAGGGTGGTCAGCCAAAATAACATCCTTTGCTGCCATATTTTAAAACCAACACCTGTGAACTTTGCCGGTTCTTTGACAGAGTTCGCAGGCAGCATAACAGTAGGATGTACGACCGGTGCGGATGTGAAGACACCCGTGTTCGGGCCAAGTGAGGGAATGACCGGTATGGCCGAAGCCATATTCGGTCCGAGTGGGGTGACCATTGCGGCCGTAGCCACGGTTGGTCCAATAACCGAGGTGACCGGAGCGGACCCCATAGTCGCGCTTGATCCAACGAAGGTGGTGATCGGAGTGGACCCCATGGCCGCACTCGATCCGAAAGGAATGTTGATCGGAGTGGTCTGCCCTACAGAGGCACCCAATCCAGCCGAAACGTTCACAACCGGAGTCTCGGAACTACTCCCGTTTCCGGTGTGAGCATCAAAACCGAATCCGTCCATACCCGCCATTGCGCACGGATATGACTACTACCTTAAGATTGTTACAATTTTTGTACGAATTACAACGGACGGGGAAGATGAACGGCCTCGGAAAATAAAAATAAATAAAATTCTGAATTTATAACTTATTTAGAATATTACAAGATAAACAGAATTGAAAATAAATTTATATATCTTCAAACAACCTTGTTGTATGAGGACATTAAACATTGGACATCGAGGACATTATGCACTGGACAGCAAGGACATTATGCACTGAGCTGCGAGGACATTATGTACTAGGGCAGAATGCAGCGAGGTCTTTATGAACTAAACCTGCAATACAAAACACCGTGAAGGACAGCGGAGTCGCCGGAGCTGTCCTTAAGGTAGTAGTGCCCGCCTACCGTACCGGAAAAACGTGGGCACTCTCCTCCCAGGATAAAACCGCTATCGTGTGTGGAGATGTACGGACCAACCACACACCAACGAACAAAAACAACGTAGGAACGTTGGCGACCAAAAAACTTTGAAGAGAATTGCCGGAAATTTGGCCGGAAAACCAAGAGCTCTCTCAAAAAAATAAACAAGAAAGATTTTCTTTCTTTCTTTTTTGTTTCTCACGTGAAGCAC